TGCACATTTTAAAAAAAAAAGGAGGGATTAGTTTCAACAGTGGTGAATGCTCAGTAAATTTTGCATTGTCTTGTTTCATTATTCATTCTATTCAGCATTATATGAGGGGTAATAGGTCACAGTTGAAACCTTAGGTGGAGACAAGGTCTACCTGCATGAATCATGTACAACCGTAACTAGGAAAGACATTTCTTGTAACTCCTTGGGAATGTGATGTGCTGAAAATCCTACGCACAGTACCTTCTTAGTATCCACCAAAGAATTTGCTCAATGTTTTTAATAATTCAAGAGTTTTCACCCAGAGCTCAGGATTTGAATCTTATCCTTTCCAAGCTCATGTCTGACCTGATTATAACAATTTATTACAATTTAAAGTTCATTATTACTTAAACCTATTTTGCTTGAGCTTGATTCTGGTGTGAAAGTTTTGTGAGATTTGTATACAAGCAAAAGCTTTATTTAGTGTATTTATCTTTCAAAGGACAGCTGATTACATATTTCAAGTTTTGGTTACATCTTTTTATTTCAAAGGCTTGTGGTGCCAAAATCTTACCTATGAAATAAAAATAGAAGTAAAATAGAAGCCCATAGGATTAAAGGGACAGTGGATACAGAACTGGCTGGGAGACAGAAAGCAGAGAGTGGTGGTGAGCGGTTGTTTTTCTGACTGGAGGGAAGTGTGCAATGGTATCCCCCAGGGGTCAGTATTGGGACCACTGCTGTTTTTTTTAATCTATATAAATGGCCTGGACTTGGGTATAGAGAGTACAATTTCCAAGTTTGCAGATGATACTAAGCTCGGAAATGTAGTAAACAGTGAGGAGGATAGTAACAGATTGCAAGAGGACCATAGACAGACTCGTAAAGTGGGCAGATGAGGTTTAATGTGGAGAAATGCAAAGTGATGCATTTTGGGAGGAAGAATGAAGAGAGGCAATATAAGCTGATGGTGCAATCTTAAAGGGGGTGAAGGAATAGAGAGACCTGGGGGTTCATATAAGTAAATCTTTGAAAGTGGCAGTACAGGTAAACTATGCGTTAAGAGAGCATACAGGATACTAGGCTTTATAAATAGGGGTGTAGAATACAAACGTCAGGAAGTTATGATGAACCTTTATAAAACACTGGTTAAGCCTCAGCTAGAGTACTGTGTTCAGTTCTGGTCCCCCTACTTTAGGAAGGATGTCAAGCCAACGGAGAGGGTGCAAAGGAGATTTACCAGGATGGTACCAGGAATGAGGGACTTCAGTTATCAAGAGAGGCTAGAGAAGCTAGGATTAATCTCCTTGGAGCAGAGAAAGTTAAGAGGAGACTTAAATTGAAGTTTTCAAAATTAAGAGGGTATCCGATAGAGTGAACAAGGAGAAACTATTTCCACTGGCGGGTGGGTTGGTAACCCGAAGACACCGATTTAAAATGGTTGTTAAAAGAAACAGAGGGTAGGTGAGGAGAAATTTTTTTCACACAGCAAGTTGTTCTGATCTGGAATGCATTGCCTGAAAGAGTGGTGGATGCTGATAACTTTTAAGAGAGAAGTAAATAATTATTTGGGGAGGACAAGTTTGCAGGGTTATGGGGAGAGAGCGGAGGAGTGGGATTGATTTGGAGAGCTCTTTTCAAAGAGCTGTGCCGTATGGCCTCCTTCTGTGCTGTATGATTCTATGATTCTGTGACCAATATTTGTAAAGTTCTGATTCTCATTTGCTGGTGAAAACCTACAAGGCTAAGGACTGCATTTGTGACACTATCCATGCGACATTAACTATAAGACAATTCTGTGAAATAATCATAGTCTAGTCCCGCCCCACATTGCAGAAGATAGCCAGTGTTGAGAAAAACAGGAAAGTGAACTTGGTAACTATATTTAGTGTAGTTTCCCTTTGTTAACGTAATTCGCTATGAACTGCCAATAAAAATATTCAAGAACTGATTTAGGTCTCCATTTTGTTGCCTCTAACAGTTTCACCTCCAGTCCCCGCACTGTCACGTCTGGCATCCCCCAGGGCTCTGTCCTTGGCCCTCTCCTCTTTAATATCCACATGCTCCCCCTTGGTGACATCATCCGCAGACATGGGGTCAACTTCCACACGTATGCGGATGACACCCAACTCTATCTTTCTGCCTCCACTCTCAACTCCAGGACCACTGCTGTCCTGACAGACTGCCTGTCGGACATCAAGTCCTGGATGAGAGCAAACTTTCTACAGTTGAATGTGAACAAGACTGAGGCCCTCCTGATTGGTTCGCGCCAGCGCCTCAGCAGCTCAGGCTCTGGCAACATCAACCTCCATGGTTGTACACTACAACTCACCAAACCAGTCAGGAACCCAGGTGTCTTGTTCGACCCTCAACTGTCTTTTCTCCCCCACATTCAAGCCATGACCCGCTCTGCCTTCCCTCACCTCCGTAACATCGTCTGACTCCGCCACTATCTCATCCCTCAGGCCGCTGAAACTCTTGTTCATGCCTTCATCACCTCCAGGCTCGACTATGCAAATGCCCTGTTTGTCGGCCTTCCCAACTCCTCCCTCCACAGGCTGCAGATAATCCAGAACTCTGCAGCCCGTGTCCTCGCCCGCACCAAACTCCATGACCCCATCTCCCCCATTCTCGCCCGACTCCATTGGCTCAAGTTCCTGGTCCTCACATACAAAGCCCTCCATGGCCTCGCCCCATCCTACCTCTGCGACCTCCTAACCCCCTACCAACCCGCCCGCTCCCTCTGCTCAGCCGGCTCTGGCCTGCTTCACGTCCCCCGACCCAACCACCCCACCATTGGCGGGAGATCCTTCAGCCACTCTGTCCCCAACCTCTGGAATTCTCATCCCCTAATCAGTCTTCGTCTCCCCCTCCTTAGCCTCCTTCAAGCCCTGCCTCAAGACCCTCCTCTTCAACCATGCCATCGATCACCTCCCCTTCCCCTCTCCTCCCTTCTCCCTCCCTGACCCCAGCTCGGGTCTGAAATGCTGTACACCGTCCAGCGCCTTGGGACGTCCTCCGGACGTGAAAGGCGCAATACAAATGTAATCTTGTTGTTATTGTAGGTTGCCCTTACTATGTGTAGAAGATTTGCATTTACAGAACAACTACCAGTGTTCCTCCTTTCTTGCCTCTTGCTGTATCATTGTACATCTACTGATGATTAATTTGGTTTTGCAAATTCATGGGAATGTGCCAGAGGCAGACAACTACCTTTACAAAACTACGCACTGAGCAAGAGATTAGTCATATAATCTATTTACCTTTGGGTGGAAGGTTTGCCTTCCACAAAATAGAAGGGTTTGTTCCCTTTGTTGTAAGGGAGGGATTAGGTTTATCAGTTTATTACTGATCTCAGTAGAGCTGCTTTGGTTGCTTTACTCTTATATTTTATGCTTGTTTAACATAATCAGTTGTAGGATATCAGGGTATCATCTCAATCATTGAAACTTGTAGCTATAACATTCTGGACATTGGTTTCTCCGTTAATTTTGTGACCTTTAATTTTCAAATGAGTCACAAATCCAGTGTGAACAATCAGACTTCTCTTAGTTGAAGCTTATCACGTCTTCGAGACAACTCAAAGCCTTCACAAAACATATAATTGGTTTGCTCATTGATTTGTTTTGGGAGGAATATATGATGAACCTGTTTTAGAATGTGCAGTTAAGCTAGTCTTTTTTCTAAAAGCAGTCTGCTTTGTGGGTGAAACACTTTCAAGAGGGAAGTGGATAGGCATATGAAAGAGAAAGGCTTGAAGAGGTGTGGGGAATATGCAGGGACTGAAGTGATCTGCTTCTGTATTCAGTGGTGGTATGCAGTGTTTCTATAACGCCAGCAAGTGCAGTGAGATGTGGGAAACACTGCTCTAGAAGGCCAGAGTTAAATAATTGGTTGAGATACTCATTTAAAATACAATATTCCTTGCATTTTATATAGCGCTTTATTACATTGTGGAAACAGCTCAAAGTGCATCATAGAATTTACTATAAAGTGTAGTGACAGTATTATCGGGGAACACAGCAACCGATTTTGATTGAGTAGATTAAGAGTTCTAAGGAAATGCTAGAGAAATGGGATTATAAGATCTGCCACGATATAATAAACTGGTAGAACAGGCTTAGTGGCCTCCTGTTCCAATGTGAGGAGAGGGAAAGAGAGAGACTTAACAGGTTGCACTTGTGTCATTTGATATAACTATGAGCGAGAAATTTATTCAAGATCAAGGCCATGTAGAAATATTTTTTAAATATCAATTTTAGTGAAATTGCATGTATCTGGAAGATTTTAGTGACTGAAAAAAACCCTCTAATATCCTCTGTTTACAGAGTTATCTGTTGTTCTGTGGTGCTGGTTGAAAAAGGGAACTACTGTAATCCTGGTTCTAGTAAATGATGCCACACTGCAGATTTGAGTGCTTAGGGTTGATTGTTTGCAATACTTTTTTTTCAAAGAAGGAACAATGTCAAAGGGCCATCCTTGGGTCTACATTAATCTGAGTGACAGCTTTGTATTTGTTCTGATATTTTCTCCAATAGCCTTTGAAGCGCTATTGTTACATTTTGCATTTACACATATATTGGTTTACTTTTCACAGCCTCTGGCTGTAGGATATGTGCATTGTTTCTTAAATATGGATTTCAGGTGTTGATGATGATTGAATTGTGTTTAATGGATTTGTTAGTAAATGATCCATGTTATCATGGCGATTCAGAATATTTAAGGATCTATTCAGAATTTTGTCTGTCTCTTGATACAGATGGTTAAATCTGTGCCACACCCACCACCACCCCTTACCTACCAAAATAGATGGTTTCTCCAAACAATGTCCGTTTTTAAATGAGTCAAAATCCAGTGTAAGCAATTATACTTCTCTTAGTTTAAGATAAGTGAAACAATCGTTTGTCAGGTTTGCTGATTGATTTGTTTTGGGGAGAATATATACTGAAACTGTTTTACAATGTGCAAGTTACGTTAGTCTTTTTCTAAAAGCAATCTGATTTTGTTTTTCCTCTGAATAGTTCTGTCCGACGACACAATGAAGCCCTCTATTGTTTGCTAAAGCGTTTGGTTCGTGGCTTTAACAAGGAAATGGCTGAATTGGCATCTTTATTCCTAGATTTTCTACGGCAGATCATAAACACTGACACATTGGTAAGTGGAATAATATTTGTTAAATGTAAAGAGTTTTGCAATTGCAACTATTAACAGTGATGTGTATGCTTGGGTCGGCTGGTAGCACTCTCACCTCTGGGTCAGAAGGTTATGGATTCAAGAGTCGAAGCTTGAACTAATTTTCTGGAATGACATTTCAGGAAAAGTAACTGGGTTCTTTAATCTGAGTTTTTTTTTATTACTTGAAACCAAATCACAGCTTGTAATGTACAGGAAGGAAAGTTCTTCTTTTGCATATTGCTCTACTTGTCCTGGCTTGCATAAAGGGTGGTTTCATTACAATGTCAAGGAAAACAGTGGGTAGTATTCAGTGATTTGAATCTGCACAACTAATCAGAGTCTGTAGCTCTCTGACGGACACCTTGAACAAAAACTGCTTTGTGTTTTAAAATCAGTGGAGTGCAGGGGAACAATTTGTATTTTTAAACCATAATGTATGCTGAGGCTTATTCTCAGTCGTGTTTTCTTCTATCTTAATGGTGCATATAAAATGTAATTTCTATGTCTTCTGTATTAATAGAATATTTAACAATGTTTAAATAAACCGTGTGCGTTCAGATAATCATGGGAATCATTTAATCATATTAAACAAATAGGTAATAATAATTCTCATATTTGACATAATCCTTGCATTTGATGTCGTGATTTAACATGTTCTCGAGACATTTCAAAGCACTGCACAGGACTTTACTGTAAAGTGTAGTTAGTGACTGTGTAGTTTCGGGTGGACACAGTAACTCATTTTTGCACAGCAGTGTCCCGCAAACAGCTATGAAGCAAATGACCAATTTTAATTGGGAGTAACTCCCTTAATGGTTTGTTTAGGAATAAAAAGTAGCCCATGATATTGACCTCAATAGTTCAATAGTAAATTTATTTTGATATTGCTTATTTAATTCTGATAGTGTATATTTGATATGTTATTGTCCAGGCTACTGGTGGAGATGAAGGTGCCCCTATGGAAGTAGATGGTGCCCAAACTCCCCGTTCTTTAGCACTCAGTGCTATGGAAGTGAAGCAGCTGCTGCAATGGAAGGATGCCACTGAAGGCCACTTGCTGTGTGACCTGGATAAGCTTGTAACGGTATGAGAAACTGATATCCAATTATAGATCATAAGATCATGACAGGTTTGAATGAAGGAGGTTCATTGGAAGGGGGCAATGCAGAGGGATTCTGGGTTGGAGGTCCAGAGTGGTATAAAATTTATATTGTCTAGAAATACAATCGACCATTAAAAGCAAATAGTTTTGAACCGCTGAGTACCTTAAGTGAGTAGATTTGTGATGTATTGAAAGAAGGTTTGGAGGATTATTTAACACTGGGGATGCTACTTCTGACAACTGACTGCGAGATTCCTGGATTTGATTCCTGGCAGGGCAAAATGTTGGGCAAGTGTACTTACTCCACACGCCTCTGTTTACCTAACAGTAAGTAGGAACCCGGATGTTAGTCAATTGGTGGATCGCTTTTCTGGGAATAATAATCCTTAAAAAAAAATTTGGTCACTCATTTCACGAATGTGGGACACTGCTGTGCCAATTGGCTGCCGTGTTTTGCCCACAAATATAGAGTCAATTCACTTTACAATATATTCTGTGAAGCACTTTGAGACGTCTAGAAGACGTGAAAAGCGCTATATCAAATACAAGGATTATTATTATTATAATACAAATTGGATTCCCGTTTTCAAGGAAAGTGATGGAGCTATACCTGTCCCTGGAAAGGTAATTCCAATTCAACATTCTGGAAATGGAATGATTCTCCTCATCCAATGCTAGCTTTAGAGATGTCCAGCACTTAAAGTAATGGTAGCTGTTGAAGCAAGCCTAGAGCTGGACAAGTGGCATGAAAGTTATCAGTGCTCCATAATGGCATGCTCAAAGTCACTATTACTTTGAGTACTGGAGAGCTCTAATAATAAAAATAATAATTCTTGCATTCGGTATAGTGCTTTTCATATCAGCAAAGCGCTTCACAAGATATATTATAAAGTATGTGTTTATAATATGCTTTGTGATATATTATGTGTTTTTGTGTTTGAACGTGAAAGCCAATTTGTGCACAGCAATGTCGTTCAAACAGCCATGGAGTGAATGACCAATATTATTTGGGGGATTGTTGAGTAGGACACCGGGAGAAAGTCTCTTCTCTTCTTGAATAACATCCATCTGAGTGAACCTGGGGCCTCGGTTTAATATCTTTTCTGAAGGATGGCATTTACAACAATGCAGCACACAAGGTGTTATGAGTTCCACGTTCCAACATGGGGTTTGAACCCACAACCATCTGTCTTGGAGATGAGAATGCTACCAAACTAAGCCAGGCTGACATAGGCTGAGCCATGCTCCAAATCTAGCATTGCATGCGAATAATGGACAGCATTGCCTTTCCACAGATTTTAATTTTCTTTTATTGCTAAATGTTTAGAAATATGCCAAACAGAATATTTGCCATCTGTAATGAAGTTTGAATATAGATTCTGCTGCAATATGTTTGGCAAAAACAAAAAGCAGGAATAAATTCAAACCTGTAAACTGATCATTTGTTTCACTCTGGCTCAGGATATGGCAAAATATGATGAAAGCCTCGAGTCTTTGGTTGAGAACATAGCCGGATTACGACAGATGTTGGAAATAGCGACAGAAGTATCACAAGTCACTGAGCAGGATGTGGAACCTGTCCTTCCACCCGCAGAGTCTCTTCCGATGTTGTTCAATAACAGGTACAGATCATCTCTTGATAATGTATTCTTTGTTGCTCTGTGAGCTTTGTTTTGGGTAAATTTCGGAGTGAAACTGTTATTACATTTCATGTAGGTTTCAAAAACGAAATGGTTTAAAAGTATTTGATGATTTCTGTTTTCCAAAATCTCGGTCAAGTTTTGAGAACAAATTGCCAGGTCATAATGACATGTCAAATATTTTGATATGACCTCACTGTTATGAAGTTTTACTTTTCCGAACAAGTCTTTTTCTTCATGATGCATTTTATCCTGTGTTATTGGGGCGGTCACTATAGAACTCACTTTGAGATAGTACAGAATGTTAAGTTTCACAAAGAACTTGTTATGAGGCTGGAGTGTAATTGTTTACATGCTCTCCTCTCCTTATTATAATCTCCTCAATTTCTTACAAGGAAATGTTTCTGTTATTGGTTTATTTGCATTGAGTGCTAAAATATTTCTGCGGGTCTGGATAAATGCTCAGGAACAGGAATCCTGGCAATTATTTTACCTTTTCTTGCTGATGAAGCACTGAGGCCAATTAAGCATTGAGACAAGTTGTACACCTCGGTGGCTGCCCTGCCTGAGATCAGCTAACTCAGCACACACTGACTGCGATTGGTGCCTGTAACTTTCTGGTCTGTTTGGTTATGCTGCATTGGACGATGTTACTATGTTACCCACAAGCATTGATTTTCTCACCAGTGTTCCGTCTGTTCTGCTGGTAGCTTTTCGGAGACTGTTTTATACAATGTTTTGCCAGGTTATTCTTGGTCTTTTACACTCATTTTTTATTTCAATAGCATTTCAAAGTTGGATTCTACCTTCCCTGGCCTCCACCCTCCCCGATCCCAACCTCCTGCTCAGGTCCAAATCCCTGACTGTCCAGCGCCTTGGGACGTCCTCTGGGCGTAAAAGGCCTTATATAAATGTAATATTGTATTGTATCTGGAGTCATGCATGGTGAGAAAATCACCACATTTTCTGTTGGCTTACTGGCAGGAATTTGTCACTATGATCCTGAGTATTTTGCGGAGACTTTCAAAAGTTTAAAGTGCCCAGCCTCTCTACTATTACCACCTTTTCTGACTGGTCAGGTTTCAATACTGAATATTTATTTTGAGAAGTTTTAGTATTTTTACAAATCTCTGGTTTGCTTTTGCCAACTTGAGCTATCTTACAATATTGCCATTGATATTACAATAGCTCTTTAATCATGAAATGGTGCAGGTTTTGCTGCTATGTTGCTGTTACAATTGGTGGCTTCATCAGTGTTTTCACTTAATATTTATTGATATTCTAGTACAGAGGTGAATGAACGGTTCAATCTGGATAGACCTTGTTTGATATAGACTCGTACCTGAACTGCAGTTTCCTATTCAGTTGCTTGCCAAAGAACTCGATTTTAAAATTAGCTGACATGTTTGCTGCTGTTGTATAACAACATTCACTTCATTTCTAATTGATTCACTTTTAAAGTAGTTTGAACCATTTATTTAGTGGGAAGGGAGCTACAGTAAACTCTGGAAAACTTGTCACTCCAAGAGAAAAGGGCTCAATTCGATTCCTGGCAAGGCGAAATGTTGGGCAAGTTTCCTTACTCCACACGCCTGTTTACCTAGCAATAAGGGGGAACACGGTTGTTAGTTGATTGACGGATTGCTTTTCTGGGGATAATAATTCCTTCAAAATAATAAAAATAATTTGGTCACTCAGTCTATGACGGTTTGTGGGACACTGCTGTGCGTAATTGGCTGCCGCGTTTCACCCACAAAAAATATACAGTCAATTTACTTTGCAGTATATTCTATGAAGTACTTTGAGACATCTTGAAGATGTAATAAGGTGCTATATCAAATGCAAGGATTATTATTATAATAAACAGTTTTACTATCTTTTTATTGAAAATTAAATTCCTGACTGAAAAGACACACATTGATCCATTTTAAATAAATTTAACTGTCTAAAATTGGAGATGAACCGGAATCTCACATCCCCTTCCAAAAAGTTAAATTGACCACATTCATATTATTGCAGATTTCTGCCCTTTCTAGATGCCTTTTCTTGTGATATGCAATGACTATGACCTTTTGTCAATAATGCCAGAAGGGGTCAGATAAAGTCACTTTCTACTTTATGGGTTTGAAGATAATTCAGTGTCAAAATGTCATTGAGGAAAAGATGTTGACATTTACAGGTGTGCAAACCTTTTTCTGGTTTATGTGAATCCAAGATCTTTAGAGCTAAGTATATTTACAACAACAACAACAACAAGATTCCATTTATAAAGCGCCTTTCACGTCAGGAGGACGTCCCAAGGCGCTGCACAGTTGGGTCATGACCCGAGCAGGGGGGAAATGGTCAAGGTGAGGAGAGGGAAGGGAGGGAGCGAGGAGGGAGGAAATGGTCAGGGTGAGGGGAGGGAAGGGAGGGAGCGAGGAGGGGGGAAATGGTCAGGGTGAGGGGAGGGAAGGGAGGGAGCGAGGAGGGGGAAATGGTCAGGGTGAGGGGAGGGAAGGGAGGGAGCGAGGAGGGGGAAGAGAGTCGAGAGGGGAGCTGAAGGCACGGTCAAAGAGAAAGGTTTTGAGACCGGCCTTGAAGGAGGAAAGGGAGGAGGCGGCGAAGGCACTGGGGGATGGAGTTCCAGAGCCTGGGGCTGAGAGGCTGAAGGCCCGACCACCGATGGTAGGGCGGTTGGGGCGGGGGACGTGGAGCAGACCGGAGCCAGAGGAACGGAGGGTACAGGCAGGTAGGTAGGGGGATAGTAGGTTGGAGAGGTAGGAGGGAGCGAGGCCGTGAATGGCCTTGTAGGTGAGGATGAGGATCTTGAATTCGATCCTCTGGGGGATGGGGAGCCAGTGGAGGCGAGCGAGGGTGGGGGTGGTGTGGTTGCGAAGCCTGGTGCGGGACAGTACACGAGCTGCAGAGTTCTGAATGACCTGCAGCTTGTGGAGGGAGGTGGCGGGAAGGCCGGCGAGGAGAGAGTTCCCATAGTCCAGCCTTGAGGTGATAAAGGCATGGACCAGAGTTTCAGCAGCGTGAGGGGTGAGGTAGTGCCGTAGTCTGGCGATGTTCCGGAGGTGATGGAAGGCGGTGCCAGTTGTGGTGCGGATGTGAGGGAGAAAGGACAGCTCAGGGTCGAACAAAACGCCGAGGTTCCTGACTGGCTTTGAGAGGTCATGTGTAAATACATGTGTTTATTAACAATACAATTGTTATTGTATTTATTTTAAATAAACTAAACATTTTTCAAGTATATGGCTAAGTCTGACGGTTTAACTAGAATCTATATTTTCTAAACTAGAGAGAAAAATATTTTTGTTCTGTATTCCAGGACTGTGTATGTGTTGGCAGATGTTCTGGATGAGCAGCTGAAGACTTTATGGCTTTCCCCATTCCAGGCTGAAGACCTTGACACAGATTTGGATATGGTAAGTGCAGCAGCAAAACGTGACAATACAATCTTAACGCTTGAAACAAAGTGCATTCATTTGTGAATATGTATGTTCATTAAAATGAGAGATGCATGTGCTGAGGAATAGCACATTTTTCATTAAGCATCGCAGGTTCATGTACAACACATTCATTCAGTTAATGCAGAATACTACTACTACTGTTGGTGAGGACATACTTCCCCAGTGTTACTTTTGTCTCACCCTTGTCCTTGTTAGCTTTGAACGAACATGCTAATTTATGGTCAGTTTTGTGCTGTAGATTATTGCTGCTAAAAACTAGGATGAGAATGTCCAACTTAACTTCAATGAAGCTGTTTTGGAGTGGAGACTTTATCTCTAGACTGGGTTGAAACTCATATACTGGAGATGAATGAATTGTGTACTGACTGACAGTGCCTTCCATTCCCTGTTGTCTATTGCTTTAAAATAATGCCAGTGTTAGGAAATGGGTGAAAATGAGTGGTTGAAGACTTTGCTATCAAAACTGTTGAATGTTAACACCCAGTTTATGAGGCAATTAAAATATGGAATGTTTGCAAACATGTATTTAAAAATATACTACAATGACCTGTAATTATTCATTGCCTCAGCTAGTCCAGCTTCTCCTGCAAAAAGGGCCTTTGTGCTTGTAGCCTAAGGAAAGAAAAAAAAATCATTTGAGGTTTTGACTCCTAATTGCTAACTAGTGATCCTGATAAAATGTAGCATGTTTTGATACTGAGAACAAAGTTATGTCAACTACAATGCCCTCTGGTTAGCAAATGCCCCTAAATGCTTAATGGGCTGGAGAAAATAATCCTGTATCAATAATTTCATATATATCAAGGCAAGAGGGCCTGGGTTCATGGTTGTGACAGTCAATTCTAAGAGCCACCAGGATTTGTTTCTTTACACAGGGGGAAATTAACCGCTGGAATGTGTTACTAGAAAGGGGAGTTGAGGTCAGGCCACTGGAGTCATTTAAGAAATGATTGAGACTGTTAATGGTTAGGTTTGGTATTCGAGTTATTGGTGGTTAGCTGTGTAAACAAATAATATCTCTTTTGAGGGTTGGATCTATCAGTGGGCAGATAATTATACAGCAAGCAACCCAAGTCATGCTATTTTTTCAATTCTACATTATACTCAGTATTTAGGTTCAATTTTAATGCTTATTGTTTTTCAACAAACAACATGCTCAGAATTAAATATTAAAGGCTATTAAGATAAATATTTGCTTGGTGTACATGCCTCAGCTTTTTAGTTTGTGACTGAAAATACTGTACTCTAGGCAGTCATGTAATTTTGGGTTAATTTCACTTCCAATCAGCTGTATAGATACATTGAGAGATCATCTTGACATTGACATCTTAAACGCCTTTGTGGTAGTGATGATTGTGATGAGCAGTGCCTATCAGTTTCTGCTAAATTCTATTGCAGGTAAAAGTAGACTTGACCGACTTAGCTGAGAAATGCTGCTGTGAAATGGACCTGAAAGCAGAACTGGAGAGGTCGTTCTTGTCAGAACCCTCATCTCCAGGAAGAGCAAAGGTATCAAAAGGCTTTAAGCTGGGAAAACACAAGCACGAGACGTTCATCACCTCCAGGTGAGATGTGAAACTTCAAACTGTTCAGTCACATGGAAATATTGCTTATATAAACATAAATATTTTAAGAAATGTTCAGCATTGCAATGATTGTTCTTTTCCTAGATGAAGCAGTTGTACTATTCAAAAACTCTGAATATTGCATTTTATCCAGGGACAAACATATCTGATCTGGCAGGGTGGGGGGGGGGGAGACATTCTTTGCCTGAGAGTATCCAAACCAAACAGAGTTACGTGTGTTCCACCTATACATGGAAATTCCCGTATGTTGGAACAAAATGCACACTCTCCTGGAAGGATGAACCCTATTTACCTAATTCTGGAGAGTATTTGGCACAGACTGGCAAGAGCCAAGGTTTGGGGACCCCAAAATGTGTGTTCGATTGCTGGAGTCTAACCAACTAACACTGCATAACTTGCCATTGAGAGCACTGTCTGGCAAATTTTCCTGTTGATTATCCAGCTGGGACCACCCTACCAGTTAGGGCTTTGACTTACAGGGTTAACAGGAGCTGAGCGAATCCCTGTTCTCAATGACTGAACTGTATCTCCAAGTCTTACTGATGAGTAGAGCCCCATTAAATTCTTTTTATTTTTTAAATAGTTTTTTGATTTATATTTTCGGGAATTTCTTATTTTGTTTTATCAATTCAAAATGTTTTATTTTTATTACATTTATGTTGTTTAATGGTAATAGCCGTTTGAGGCATTTCAAGCTATGGCGGCAAAATCTGAATTTCCACAATTTCAAGGTCAACAACAACAACTTGCACGTATATATCACCCTACACTCAGGGTAGCGTTTCAGAGGTCAGCTTGTACCTCCGCAAGTCTTTTGCAGATGTGTGTAATGAAGTATTTATACAGATAATTTGTATTGAAGAATGAAAATCTGATCTGTTTCTGTATTTATGTGCCTTTTATTTTAGTGGAAAATCTGAATACATAGAACCGGCCAAGCGAGCTCATATAGTGCCTCCTCCACGTGGACGAGGCAGGGGAGGATTTGGGTCAAATTGTAGACCCCATGATATATTTCGTCAGCGGAAGCAAAATACGAGCAGACCACCCTCGATGCATGTTGATGATTTTGTGGCAGCAGAATGCAAAGACATTCCCTCGTCTGGTCCTCCCCCACCAAAAAGGACAAATAAAGGACCTCCAAAAGCTGCTTCTCGGGGTGGATTCTCTGGAAATCGAGGCCGAGGAGTCTTTCACAGTCAAAATCGTTTCTTTGTTCCGCCAGCTCCTAAAGGTGCGTGAGAATTTCCAATGGAAAATTTGCATGATTTGAGTTTACTAAAATGGATTTTTAACCAAACGTCCTAAAATTGTATGTTTAAAAATAGATGTTTGACAACAAGCTATAATGCAATTCATAGAATCATAGAATATTACAGCACAGAGGGAGGCCGTTCAGCCCACCATGCTTGTGCCGGCTCTTTGGAAGAGATATCCAGTCAGTCCCACTCCCTCTCTTGCTCCATTGCCCTGCAAATTTTCCTTTTCAAGCACCTACCTGATTCCCTTTTGAGATTCATTTAATAACTGCACATGCTATTATCTGGCACCTTGCTCATCAGTTTCTTACACTTTCTTTTGTAATCTTGTCTGCTGCCCCAGCTCCACGGCAGCTCTCAAAATCTCACCTAGAACCAATATTTATTTCAGTTGTCTTCTCCAAGGTTGATTGACATGCAACATTATTGGGAAACGCTCAGCATTCATCTGTGCCATGTGGCCTTAGTACAATAATATCCATATCTCGGACTGCAGCAATATTCTTGTACTTCCTGGTTCTGTTATCCCTTGTGTCAATAAGAATCTTGTGCATACTCTCATTTCAAACACACTGACTTTTCCTCACCAGTGTGCTTTGGTTGTTCGATTGTATGCCTGATGGGATTTTGAATATACAGTATGTTGTCACTTGGTTTTGACAACATTAGTTCATGTTTGCCAAATTACAAGACATTTTTAAACCACTCCTGGTGCTGGGCTGGTGTGTATCACTCAAGCGTACCTAATGTCTACCCACACATACCTTACAGCAGGTTCTCTGATTTAAATCAGGTATAGGAATCCTGTCATATTTATTTTAAGCCTTAGCACCCATCTCCAACCAAAGAACACTAGGCTAATTGTAGCACCTAACTGCTGTTCTCGTTTACAGCAGCTAATTCAGCACCTGCACCCTTCTGGTGTATATGGTCTCTTGCTGGACCATCGGGTAAGTTGGATATTTTGTGTTCTTTTCGAGAATTGAGTTCATGTCCCCAAACATACTGCTGTCTTCTCTAAGAAAGTCTAAAGGTTATATAGAACTAAAATAATGATTCAATGGACAATTACTGTAGAATTTTCTTAAAAGGTGCAGGAATACAGGTTTGAATAATTAGAGTATCTTATGAATTAGTTAAGCCTTTTTTTATTCTGTGGCAAACTATTTGAAGGAAGAGAGGTTAGGACATATTAAACTGATATCCACTTTGTGAATGTGCTGACTTTTGGGCGGCATTGTGTTTACAAAAACATAATGTAATTTATTGTACAGTTATTGTGATAAAATTGACTCTTCCCATCGACTTCAAAACAAAAAAAAGGTTGAACAGTTCTCATCTCTTATCCAAATGTTCCCATTCCATTCTTTTTCCTGGAAGAGAAAACCTAGTCGAGGACAAATTGCAAAATGTTATAAAATTATTTTTGCATCTGCTCCAGGACCAAATCATATCAAACAAGACCATTATAAATGTAATGAGGGCATTCCTGTTGTGTTGTTTTCAGTTTGACTTATGTATTTACTTAGACATGTAGACATGTATACTGATAATTTGTAGTCTCTTGTTTTAAATAAGTTTGAATTTGTCTACACTACAAGAGAGGTGAATTACAGTAAGACCCAGGGGGCAGGTAAACATCTTTACTTTGCTAATTTCAATCCTTTTTGTTAGAAGATCTTCCTTTTATTCCTGGTCATTCGGTGGCACTTCTGCATCTCAGCACGAGAAATCGTAAGTAGCCTCTCCATATTGTGCTGAATCTACATTATGACTAAAAAGTGCTGTAATCATGAAATCATCTGAAATAATATTTGTGGAGGAGTTCACTGAAATCAGTGGTAGGAGACAAGTGACACCTTATCAGTTTTACTTTGGGGACCTGGGTTCAAACAAAGCCAGTCTGATTGAAGGATTGGAAACCTTCATTCTCAGCTTGGATGTAAAGGTTACTACAGCGGTACCTCGTTCTAGTGGCTGCCAGTTTAACACTGCTTGAGTCTACTGTAAACCCACTAACTGCACTTGCTGACTTGCCAGTTTCTTGTGCTGAAAAACTTACCAACTTCACGGTCCTCAAGTAGCCATTAATGTCACTTCTGCACATGTGCCGTTTGTGTCACTTCTCAAAGGAAGTAATATCAGCGACACTTCTTGCACACAGCACACGTGTGCAGTACACAGGACGTAATCTCACTAGTGCCGCTTAACATGCAATGCACGAGGTGATTTCAGTGGTGACCTGACGACCTGAAATTCAGCCATTTTTTGCACCACATAACATGACCTCTAAGCTATTGGCCTGCGGCTCCATGTTAAATGATCTTCCCCTATATGAGAAATCAGTTTGGTGAGACTCAGGCCAGTTCTTGATGGAGTAGGTATGCCCTTCATTTTATTCAGAGAGAATGTTACGGCATGGAATCAGGCCATTCAGCCCATCAAGTTTGCACTGGCTCAGTAAGAATTTTTCTGAGGTTGAGGCAAGGGCACAATGCTTGGGGCAGAGTTGGAGCTTTCCATTCCATCTAACCTTTACTGATTTGGGAGTGCTTGATGCTAACACTGGATGCTTGAAATACCTTGAACATTTTACATGTCCCAGCATTAACATTGCTAAACACCCAAATCACCATCAAATCTAACATAGATAGCATTTGTCTGATGGTCACAAGTTACATAGAATTACATAGACTGTACAGCACAGAAACAGGCCATTTGTAACACAATCTGGTCGTATTTCAGAGCCTGCAAAGTTTGTTCTGTTATATATAATTAAATTACTTAATATTTGTAAGAATTGTAAGCTATTTGGGAATGTGGATAAAAAAGCCATTCACCTAGCTAGCTTGTTTGTTTATTATCGTATCCCTCTGCATCTTTGTTGTAGCTAGTTACTTGTATCCTATCCTTAGCTTGTAGTGCCATGGTTTGGATATTAACTTAGATCTTGTTAAGTCTTCAATTCTTTCTTAGACCCAAACTTCATACCTCTGCTTCCTTCTGACTTGAATACTTTATGGCTCCTTTTGAATTAGTCTATCATGAGATATCTTAAACCTTGTTTTTCTCAAGGTGTGGCATTGTCAGTGTACTTTAGGTTAAAGGGAGTGGTGTGGATAGCAGTAAATTAGTGGGTATAATAATGATAATAATAATAATAATCCTGGCATTTGATATAGTGCCTTATCAAGTCTGAGACATTGCAAAGCGCTTCACAGAATATGACTTTCTTAACAGAACAGAATCAAAAGCACCCACTACTAAAATAAATTCATTAATTTTATATTTAGAAAAATAGGTCATTTTAATTCTTACTTATATGTTGGTATAGAGTAGGCTCACCAAATTAATTCAATGAGTAGCACAGCCATAATAATCTATACCCTCTGTTAAGTGAACTCAATATGATATTGATGGACTGTAGAGATTTTCTTTATTTCCCTTGAAGATTAGGGTCCCTGGCTTATACATGAAGTAGAAAAGCAAGTATTTAAATAAATTGCATGACTTCCTAGCTTGATTCTAATTCTAGAAGTTGTTGCAATTTGTGTAGATCAGTTTTGCTTTTCTGTGCATCTATTTCTGTATTTTATAAAAATCCATCCATTACATTTTTGCCAATTCCTATCTACTGCCTTCTTTCTTACACCCTTCTCCCAAGGAAAATGGACTGCACATCAGCTTCATATCAGCTATAATACCTCCAATTAGCTGAATAGTAAAACCCACTTGGTGTATTTGATTTTCTTCTCCCCTCCTCATTTCTTTAGTGAAACGGTTGCTTTAATAATGTAAAGCAAAGTTGTTGAGATTCATATTCAGACTTTCTACACAAAACCCTTTCAATGACAATGAGTCTGGTTTGCTAGAATTGATAAGATGATTTGCAAATATCAAATCCTGCACTTCCTGGTGCTGCACCTGTTCTCACTTGCAGAGCTCCACTCAGATACCGATTTTATTTGAGTTTTATGAAGTTTGATTTTGGCCAAAGGTGGCATCTGGTGGTTGGCAGACGTCTGACAGATTGGGGTGAGACACTTCTGGATACGTGCAGGATTTGATATTTCCAAATCCTTTTTATTTATCCTCACATATATCTCAATAACTACATTTACATAGATTTTTTCAATCAGTATAACACTGCTGGCGTTTCACTCTTGGTGATTTTAAAGGAACATATTTAAAATGTTTTCTTTAATCAATTTTCATTTATGTTGATGCACAGAAATGTACAACATGCTTTTACGCTGAAAGTATTAACGCTGAAAATACATTGGCAACTGTAATCTCACTGGTTAAAATTAGTACTGCACACACCTAGTTCAACCGCACTGATCTTTGCTGTCCATTTATAGACTGACATGTAAGCCCTCTGTATCAGATAGACATCTTTCAGTTACCAGTTTATGTGCAGACAGTCTAATCCATCTTAAATCTGAAGCTGTGAACTGAAAGCAAATCTATTGCAAAAAATAAGTCTTTTAAAACCCTTACTTAAGATAAAACATTTTTGGTTTAACTATGTCCTGTGGGTTACTTTTGTGAATTTATAGTAATTTAAAATATCTCAATTGTACTTTGTGCTGAACAGTTTTTTTAAAGTCCATTTCATTTCTACAGAATTTTTGTGCGGTGGTATTTCGAGCCCTTTTTATGCAGCAAACAGTCTGGATGAATGGGGTACAAACAATACTAAATTTTCATATTTATCTCTGTCTGCATAGTTATTTAACTGTTAACACTGACAAATATCACAATTATGCAACAGAAAAGATGCATCCTCCTATTAGGAAGGGTGCTCACTGCAGCTCTACTTACCCAGGATAGTAGTGGGAAGCATGCTATGGTTTGGCTGGTAAATCATTCTCCCATTCCTCTCTGCATAGCTGTATTGTCCTCCTGTGGCTTTTTTGTTCTCTTGAACATCTGGCATTTCCCCATTCCTTGGGAAACCTTTGCTATTTATGTGTTTAATGGTTGCATGGTGAAGGTATATACATTACAGTTAGTTTGAGGCAATCCCTTTTGGCTCTAATTTATAATCATTCCTGTAATGCATCAAATACATTTCAGAACCGATATTTGCTTGGTTATATTTTAAAGAAAGTTGCTCTTCCAAAAGGAAACTACAGTCGCCGTGAAGGAGGACGTGGTTCAAGCTGGAGTGCCCAGAACAGCCCACGCATTGTATATGGTGAAAATCGAGGTGGTCAAAGCAACTTCAACAGAGGTCCACCATCAAGGCAGCCTTCAGCAGGTATGACTGATACGCACCATCTGCTTTGAATATAAAATTGTTCTATCTTACATTACGCATCTTAAATCCTTGATGCTCGCAATATTTTTAATATTGATGGATTGAGGAATTGTAACCTGGCTGACAAAGGCAGAGACTCAAGACCAGCAAATAATTGTAGATGTCTCTCTTCACGCAGCAAGAGCTTCTGTATGGCCATATTGCCTTCTGTTTTACAGTGAATGCAAACCAAACAGCCGGTGGGCTGTTTATTGTCACCTGTAGGTAGGTAAGGGTGGTGATTCATTTCAAAGAATGAGGTGTCACATTGAAAAAGTTTTTCAGAATATGAGGTAAAAGACTGATAGTGTTCATTAGCAAGTTTCATGACCTGGGTTTATAGATCATGGAAAAGTATGATTGATCAGTAACAGGAATTTATTTACTGTTATAAGGATCGTTATTTGTTCTGGCTAATGATCAAAGATCACTGGATAGAATGTTTCTCCCCCTCCCCCAAATTGAAATGCATTTTGCAGTGGGGAGTTTAGTCATATTAATCACAAAATAAGGGTCACATCACATCTCCCTTTAGCAAACTGAGGTTAGTAGATGAACCATTAATCTTCTCAGCAGACAGTGTGATAGCTTTGCTTATTCACTTCTGATCCTTGCGGATAAAATAACCTGTTTTTAAATGCAGTAATTCCATTAATTCATGTACCTCCACTAAGTCCAACAGAGTCTGGTCTACTTAGGAATTAGTTCAAATCAAAATTGTAGATTATTTTTGTTGCTGCTCATCTTGGAGAGGGTGGTGTTATCCAGTTTTTTTTTTTTTTGCTGTGTCAACTAGAGGGGAGGTTAAGGGTAAAGGAACCAAGTACCCTTCATCAAAAGCAGTCCCTGATGGTGGGTTAACTAAGAAATGTCAAAAGTGTCTCTTAAGATGTTCTCTGGTTGTAGCATTTATATTTCTGCATGATAAAAATAATCTTTTTTGCGTGGATGGAGTGGGGGGGCGGCAGGAAAGAAGGGCAGAGAATCCCAACTACAGTTAGTGGTTGAGGTAAGGCTGGGTGTGCTTTGATTGACTGTCAAACTTCATTGACAAAAGTGCATCTTTAGTACATGTTTTATTACACCAAGTTTGAAATTCCATTTGCTTTTACAAGAGAGAAAACAAAATCTGAATATAGAAATGATAGGCCCACGAACAAGGCATTGAATAAGTCGCACTACTTATATTACTGTAATACATAGGCCAAAGGTGTATATTGCATTCTTTACAATCTGCACATATTTTGCATATTTATATTTCAGGATACCGTCAAAGTCCCCGGGATCGTACATCGAGAGGGCGAGGAGCAGCACCATCATGGAGCAGTGGTGGAGGCTCAAGAGGAAAGTTTAGCAGTGGAAGTGGAGGAAGGGGCAGACATGTGCGATCCTTCACACGCTAACCTGAACCCGTTGCACGCTTTCTTTATTTGTGAACAAGTAAACGTTTTGCCTCAACAAAAGACAATGAAGTGTGAGATTCTGTACTGGAGTTTCTGGCACTGATGGACCAATATTTGACTCCGATGACTTGTAGTGATAAGATTTAGTAAAAAAAACAAAGTGAATATTTTCGTTGAAGAAAGTTGGAAGATGTCGTCCTTTTATAGCAGTATTGAAATGAAATTTTAATAAAACTGATCTTCAAAAGAGACTTTTTTTGTTTGTTCATTCCTGGTGGCTAAGGGCAGTATTTGTATTACTATGGCAAGCCTAGTAGGTCCTGAAAGGAATTGCTGATGAGCCCTTCCTTGACTCTGTGGTAATACAACAGCAGCAACTTGCATTTATATAGCGCACTTCACGCGGGGTAGTGTCCAGGAGCGCTTGACAGTGGCGGAGTCCGACACAGGGAGGAGGTGGGCGGGGAAGAGTGGGATAAATTGGAGCAGGGAAAGCAACCATAGAGGTAACAGCAAGTGAGAGTAAAAGAGTAATATGGGAACCCCCATTCCCCCAGGGCGGAGTGATTGGCAGTAGGGTCAGTGACAAAGATTGCAGATAGATGGACCTAATTTTCAGGATATTGAAAAAGACTCAGAAGAACGAATTGTTCCTGGACATCACTGCCTTTAGGACTGTTTTGTTTCTATTGTAGTAGATAACACTCCTGTGTGACAGGGGAAGCATCCCAGTCTCAGGAAAAGTGCGATAAATTGGGGCAGGGAAGGTGAACATAGAGGTGACAGCAAGTGACAGAGTAAGGGTGGGCAAGAGTAATTGAGGGTTGCGTACAATAAAAGAGTATGCAGTGTGTTGAAGGAGGGGAAAGGACAACATGCATTGAGAGAGTTGCTCAGGAATCTGATAGGGAGGTAAAGAAAGGGCGATAACCCTGGTTCCCCCCTGGATCCCCCTCCCTTTTGGGGAGTTTTATATCCAGTCGTGGAAGGTGCGTAGATGATAGGCAGTCGAAGCAGTTATGAGGTAAGCGTGTTCATTCTCCAGAAACCTTTGAACCAGAGAAGAAATGTACGAGGACCTCAGTAAAACCTAACATTGTGATCCTTCTGTAGATGTCTGGCAACACAAGACCAGGAAAGAATTCCTTGTGGAGAAAAAAGGCCTGAGGAATAGATCACAAAGAGAAAATAAGCAACATAAAAGTTCCGTTCTTTTAATCCTCCGAATGCCACAGACCAGTCTGACCCTCTTCCTAGTTTTGACATGTCAAATTTATCAGATTGTCTTTTTGCTCATCCACAAATGTAAACAAAGTCAAGGTATGGGCTAAAAGGATAAGTACAGTTGTAGCTGATAGAAAATATTGTGCTCCACATTATTGTAGAATATAGTGGTTTTCAAATATTTTTGCACATCCCCCAGCACACACCCCCCCTTCCACCTCCTGGACATTAATATCCCATGTGCTCTACTTTCTGGAACATACCAGGTTTTACACGTTCCTCAGGAAGTTTAGGCTTGACTGCCCTTGGCCTCAGGCTGGTTAGTAACCGATATTTCAATTGGAAGAGGGAACAGGGCACACTGCTATTTCTTCCTCTCTCCCTTTTCCCCCCATCCCTCAACTCCGTTTAACCTCCTCATACTCCTCTTCTGCCTCCTCCCCCTGACGTAGACAAAAGCCAGTAAGACTAGAAAAAAAGTCTCATCTAGTGACCCGTCTACCACCACGTAGATTGAAATAAAAGTTGAGTTGACCCCCTAGAGTCATCTTAATTTACCCATTTCATGCGTATCAATCTGTTGTACAATAGTGTAGTTTGATGCTGAGTTGGGGAGAAAGGTTGAGTAACCGTAGGCACAGTCAAGAAGGAAAGTCCTCATCCTCACTTGTAAAGCCCTCCAAGGTCTTGCTTCTACTTCTGAGACCTACTAAACAGTTACGTACCTAACCGTTCCCTCTATCCTGGAATCCCTCCACCGCAACTCTTAACCTTCAAGGTATTTCTCACACTTTCCTCTTTGACATTTCAGTCATTTTCCCACCTTCACTTGTCTTGCCCCCCATCCCTCTCAATTCCAACCCCCAGCTTGAGTGCAAACCCCTCACTATCCAGCACCTTAGGACGTCTTCCCGACGTGAAAGACGCTATACAAATGCAATTTGTTGTTGTATAAATAGAGTTCGTCCACAATAACATTGTCACTCAACTTTGCAGTATAACCTGGGAAGCACTTTGATACGTCCTCCTGACGTGAAAGGCACTATATCAAATGTAAGGATTATTTTTATTAATAATAAATCTAGAACCAGGCAGAATTTTTGATCCCATATTTTGTAACTTACTGTTTCTTAGATGACAGTGACCTCTCTTGGTTTTCTTTTAATGCTTTCCAGGCGTAAAAGAGGTCGACCATTGGTGTGCTTTTTGCTGTTTCCCTCTCCAGCTGCAGCCCTGGTATCTTTATGCAAACTTTTCAATAACTCCATCAGTTCTCTCTTCTCCAATTCAGCCTGTTCCAGCTCCTGACGGTGCTGTCTTTCTTCTGCCACGAGTGTCCGCATATCTGACTTCACACGTGACATCTGACTCTGAAAGTGCATTGAGTATCAAAATCCATTCAACTTGCACACAATACATAATATACATCATACATTTACATAGCACCTTTCGTGTTGGGAAGGTGTGTTATCCTCCATGGGTGGTTAGCCTACAGAACATCGTCACTCCACTTTGCAGTATATTCTGTGAAGCGCTTTGAGACACCCTTCTGATGTGAAAGTCATGATATCAAATTTAACAACAACTTCCACTTATATAGCGCCCTTCACAAGAGGTATCATGCCGGAGGAGTGTTTAAATGTAAGGATAACTATCATCAATGTAACAGTATTATTAGTGCAAAAGTACGGCTCAGTCATATACAGATCACATGTTTATGCTCCCAACACCACAAATCAGTATTCTGCAGAATATTTAATTCTTATAACTTGTTCCTTACTACACTGTTGGCCAGTTCTTTTTAAAAAGTTAACAAACAGTAGTATCTGTTTTGGATAGTCTGCTGCATTTACTTACTACTTTTACAGAGTGGGTGGAAAGAGATTCTTCGCATCTCCAGTCTCACCTCTCCTTCAAAGGATTTAATAATCCTTCAGAAGAAAGTTCTGTAAAATGCATTGCAATGACTGTTGAATTAAGATAATTTAAAAGCCATTGTACACAACAGGTAAAATGACAAACCTTCAGCTCCTCAATTTCATTTTGTAGAAGACTTTCCTTCTGCACCATATGCCTTCTTTGAGAGTCCAAACGGGATTCCATCTCGTGTCTCACTTCTTCTACTTTACAAATCATCTCAGACCTTTATTTTAGATATAAAAAACAAGCACAAGCCCCTTGAATTTAATGGACAATTCCTGCCAGGTAATACACGTGAATACATTTCATATGGTTGATCTGGTTGGTGTAGATGAGTCCAGCATATGAAAACTTTACCTAATGTTTTCCTCTACTTCACATATGTTTGATCACAGTGTCCTGCTCGTTAGCCATGTTTTATTGACAGCAAATGCAGTAAAATCACCTTGTGGTTGGAGCAGGTTTCGATGATGGGGAAAGATATTTATTGGAGTTTGTAACTTCAGTACAAAACATTACCCTCACATTGTTGTTTTCTCTCAGTGATTTTGCTCTATCTATAAGAGAAAAACTTTCAGAGCCCCATATTTATACCAACTGACATGATGGTGGCTTGACCTTCTCCTGGATCTCACTTGTGTTGAGCTGCCCTTAAAAGTTGAGAAGAAATTTTCCTGGTAAATCTTTTCCCTAAAATTCACCATTTTTTTCCTGTTTTTTTGTTTCTCCTTGGAGGGGAGCTAGTGCTTGAGAGGCGAGTGGGTGAATGTTATGTGGAGTGGAGGGGATTCTCCTGGGGCAGGCACTATCCTGTCACTCTCGCACTTTCCTGTTTGTAGATATTATAATAAAATAATCCTTGCATTTGAGATCACGTCATCAAAATGGCTTCACAAGATTCATTGGAAAGTATAGCGATTGTGTATTTATAGGGAAACATGGCAGGCAAATTGCACACATCAATGTCCCACAAATAGCCATGAGTAAATGACTAATTTTATCTGGAGGACTGTTGGCCATGATATCATGAGAAATTCCCTTCTCTTTTCAAACAGTGCCAGGGGATTTTTAACACCCCCTGAAAACGCAGACAGGACCTTGGTTTAAAGCTTCACTGAAACAAATTCTAAATTAATTTTATTGTATTTTATTTTCAGTGTTCTCGTTTAGTTGCAATGCTCTAGAAATCAATGTTTTTTAAACATTATACCAAAATTCTCATGTAATTGTAGCTTAAGTTAATTTAAATTAACTTCATGCCTGTAACTTTCCAAAACAATACCGTTTTTATTTGTACGTACTACAGCAGTGAAGTTGGATTCCGTCAGTCCCTGAACGTACCTACCTGAGCAATTCCAGCTCTGTCCGTAACTCTGCTATACAGTTGTGCTGTACATCGTCTACACTGAGAATTGTATAACCACATCCATCGGAACATTCCCGGCTCCGATATTCACACACAGCTGCGTGGGTTTCCAGATTGCGACGCTCGACCTGAGCAGTACAACCTTTGGAGGCGTTGGTATTAATGTTAAAAAATACTTGACAGAAACAGCTTAAAATTCATAACCAAGATAACCACAAATCAAGCTCTCAAAACACAAGCAGTACTAGAAGGAGACATATCTTGACCTATAGTACACAGCAGTGAAAAGAGTTCAAATTTGTTTTGTTACAGTCAATGAAATAAGTGCCAGTTAAGCTCAGTTTAACCCATTTGAAGGGACTTTATTACTGAAAGTGGCCATTATGTGGGTATCATCACTTATTTTCCTTATATTGGAAATCTATAATATTTGTTTCTTATTCACAATTGAACATAAATGACACTGATAATATGCCACCATTGCCAGGGTTTTACGAAAATCACTTATGCACTTATGATTTGGAATTAAGCATTTGGCACAGACGTCACATGTTTCAGGGTAAATCTAGTACTGGATTGGTAGTATCTGGATACCGCTATTTCTTGTTATCTTCGAATGAGGTTAACTACAATAGAACCATCACAGTGCTTGAATGACTGAATGCACAACACACTTTTTAGTGTGCACACTTGGGCATTAATTTTGTATGAAACATGAAGTCCTTTGGGTATAACATACTGTGTGCCATTTGGCTGCACGGGAGAATAAAAGGCATGCACCAGAAACTGAAACACACACTGAGGATCGATTATGCACCATGTGTAAATGTATGTACATAGGAGTTACAGCTGTCCTTAGTTAAATAATTAATTGTTTGTTAATTATATATTCAAGGATATCTGTAATGCTCTCTATTCACATGCGTGAACAACAACAACTTGCGTTTGTATTGAACCCCTCAAGTGTGGTAGTGTGCCTCGGACCGCTTATTCTTTACACACTTTTGTACATTGTTTACACATGGCACACTGTACAACATGTAGATCACACGCTGGAAATGTTCGTATAATAAACCAAAATCCTGGGTATCACATCACTTTTGAGTGGGGAAACTGGAGAAAAGTACTGAGAAGGAGGTAATCACCTTCCAAGATTTTGGACTGTGGCTTTGAACTCTAAACAGAATACCAAATCAATCAAATCACTGCACTAGAAACTCACAAGGCCAGTCTCAACATTCAACTACTCTCATTGAGTCACAGCTGGCTGGCAACAAGCTTTTTTTTAAAATACATACCACATCCATAACACATGTAAATTCCACCTGCAGACAAATTAGCAAAGGGAAACTTAAAATACTGAACATGATGATCTAGCCGAATAAACTCATTGGGCGTACTGATTATTTCCACAACATGCAGCAAACAAACACTTATCAATATTTGGTGGTGTGGCAAGTTCAAGCAGAGAAGGTTATGAGAAATCCAAAATAGAGGTCGTGAAAACTCCAAAAGGTTCTGAGATGTATTCAAACATTATTCCGATGGATGCTGAATTGGTGACAATGGAACATGATCTCAGGAATGCCACTGGAAGAATTAGATGGGGAACTGGCTAAAACGTTCATGGTTAATACAGTGAAATTCTTTTAACTGAATACTCAATTTGACCATGAAAATTATTGAATAAACAGAAATATTCATATAACTGGACTAAATATCAGAGAAGAATCACCTCCCAGAGCTCGGCCTCTGACAACATCGGAACCACATGTGTCCTCGCTTACATGTGGCCAACTGAACAATCGGCAGCAATCTCTCTGGGGAGTGAGGCGAGATCGGGGGAAGGCGGAGAGGACACGGACGTCAGTGCTGGACTGTATATGGTGGTGATTTAGGAATATGCATTTATGTGGACCCAGATTAACTGTTTTTTACATAAATGGTCCTGGGGAATTTATTCAATAACCCAATTATTTGTATCAATTATTTGTAATGGTATTCAATTAACCAATCTATATTCATAGATCAGGTGTGCAAATGGTTTGGGATTTCTAAATTCTATTCAATAAACCGAACTATTCAATTACCTGATGTTCAATTAAACTGAATTTCACTGTATATAAAGAAAAGTAATATAAAAGGGTACAAGGAAAGAGAATTGGAGTTAAAGTAGGTAGTTCCAATGGAGAAGCTGGCAATTGTAGAAGCTGGAGTGAAAGGCTGAATAGCTACCTTCTGTGCTGTGGTTTCTGGAAGGAACAGGCTTATAAGCCAAATATTATTTTCTTGCCCTATGGTTTCTTGTGATTAATATATTACTCAAAGGATCCCATTTTACTGCGTCGATAACATGGCTCTAGATCCCTCCACAGAATCATACTCAACAAGTCCTTTTTCAACAATAGGAGATCCTTTTTGATTTAGAGAATTTGCTATGTATATATCTCGCCACAAGGGGGTGCGGTTGGACAAGTTTGTTACCCACTTTGACAGCCACAATAACCAGGAAGCTGGAAACCAGGAAGCTGACTGGGATTCTGGAAACTCCAGCGGAGGAAATCTGCTCTTATCATAATATTTTCACTCTGTGTTTAGAAATACAGTAGCAACGTTTTGCCATAATTTATGAAGTGGTTTGATACATTGTTTTGCCATGCATAATAATAATAATAATAATCCTTGCATTTGATATAGCGCTTTTCAAGTCTTCTAGAAGTCTCAAAGCGCATCATAGTGAATTGACTGTATGTATTTGTGGGTGAAACATGGCAGCCAATTGTGCACAGCAGTGTCCCACAAAGAGTCGTGGATTGAAGTGACCAAACATTTTTTTTCTTGAGGGATTATTATCAGGTGTGTGGAGTATGGAAACTTGCCCAAGGTTTCACCCTGCTGGGAATCAAACCCAGGTATCTCGCTTGCGAGGCGAGTGCTCTAACCACTGAGCTACAGGACTCCGGACTGTGTCCATGCTGTGTACATACACAGCACTTTCATACCTTAGAAATCATTTTAATACTGTTCAGTTTCCCTCCCTTCAATTTCTAATGGAAACCGATGTCTATTATTGGTATTGGGTGGCACTGAGTGTCAATACATACTTCTTGTCTAAAGTAGAAATACTTAAAAGTAGTCTTCAAGTAGTTAAATAATTCTACTAAGTCAATGTTTACTCTTTCCTTCCGTTAGAAAAACAATTTATCATAAGGATTTGTAAGCTCCTCACACTATTATTGGATAACTGATACAAACATCTGATGAATAAACCTCTATTGCCTTGCACTTACCAGCATTTGAGCATGGAACACGGCTGTATTCACACTCCCTCTCATGTCGGTCAATAGCTTCTAAAGAACAGATTGTTTCACATCCATGTTCTCGGTTTCGGCACCAAATCTGAAGACGATTCAGATCATTTCTCATATATCTAATGGGAAACAATAAAAAAATTTCTGTAGCTCAGAGGCAATTTTGTTTTCGGACATTGCTAGCTTGGATTTATGATTCACCAGTTGGCAGGTCTTGATGTGAATCTCTTATTCTTAAATTCAGGAAATTGCAATTATCAACTTGAATTTTTCATTTTGAACCAAATGATTTCAAAGTGGATTTAAAAATTTCTAAGGACAAGGTTTACAAGAGCACCTGAATAATGGTCGAAGCATGGATATGTCCAGGGGCTGCCGATCTTCAGGACAATTATGATTCTGAATGAGCCAGCCATGGATACACGATGTACAGAAGGCATGTTCACATGGTGCCTGTACGGGGTTCTCTAACACATCCCGACAAATGCAACACAATAGTCCATCGTTTACATAGCCTATAAATCGCTCTATATCATAGCCCATGATATCCAATCACAATCAGCATCTGTTCCTGTAACAAAATAAGAAACCAAGATAACAAGTTTAGAGTTATATTATAGAAAATCAAGTTTACTGCTTCCACAAAGCATGCAACACTTTCGACCATAGACTCTTCCCAATCCACTATCAATAGAGAAAGGTTCTATAGAGATACTTCCAGAAACCCAAATGTAAAAGCTCCAAGATATCATCCACCCCCACTTATGGAACATGTGTTTCAGAGCACATGTTCTTGATGTTCCTGTGAACAGATAGGGGTCAAATGTATAATGTGGACTCCCCTCTTTTCCTCAGCATAGTTTTAACATAATAGTTAGGCCCAAAGATTACAATGATGCCACTTGGGTTACCAACTGTGGAGAAGATGATTCCAGAGCCAAATTGAATTTGATTAATTAATTTGAAATCATTGAAATACTTCAGGAACAGCATTACCATTGGCACCAACAAATTCAACTGGCTTTGTGACCCAAACACATTAAGCTGAAGACCAGGGGCACAGTGGGAGGTTGGAGGGATTGGAGATGCTCAGTTATAACAACAACTTGCATTTACATAGCACCGCTTATGCAGGGTAGCGTTCCAGAGCGCTTGACATTGGCGGAGCACGACGTCGAGCTGGGGGGGGGGAGATGACCTCACGGTCGAATAGGAAGGTCTTCAGGCGCGATCTGAAGATGGGGAAGGAAGGGTCAAAGCAGAGCGATAGAGGAAGAGTATTCTAGAGTTTCGGGGCATAGCGGCTGAACGGAGGACATGAGACACATGAGAAAATCAGATTGATCGATTGAAATTTGAATGATTCTTAACAGATTAAAAACTACCGTTGACAGCTTGCAAGCTGTCTCATTGTCACAGGATTAGACGGAGGGAGACCACATCCATGAGCAGTCTTGTTATTGACTGTCTCGATCACTTTTATCAATATGTTGTTAGTTATCACCTGGGATCAATATATCACATAATGATGTTTTCACCATGCTTTTTAGCAGAAAGGATTATAAAAGCAAAGGAGATGGAATTACTTCAAAAATATCCAAACTAAACCATTGTGATCTTGTTAGATTTTTATTTTAGTATTACTGTAGATCGCTGTAATTAATTGATATGCGATGTGCAGGCAGGCATATTAAGTAAAACAGTTTTAAAAACTGATACCTAGCATTGAAAATTCAAATAATCTAACTGCACTACTTTTTCTATTTAAAATTATCATAATAATTGCCAGACCAAGGTCATATGGTTTATTATACTTACAATGATCCCAGCACTGTTTTGTTATATTACATTTAAACAATTAGAAATATTAACTTACCAGTTCCTGAACACCAGCTGCTCTAAAACACCTCAGCAGCTACTTCTGCATGGTATAGGATAATCGTTCAACTGTTCTTCTGCCCAGTGTCTAAGTCTAGCAAGACAAAAAAAAAAGAGGTAGTCAGCTGTCTGTTGTGTTTCCAAAGAGACCGATCCACAGTGCTTAACCAGGCAGCTGCTCAATGCAGAAAACAATAAGCTACTGTTGACCTGAGTTCAGTGCTTGGAAAAAACAGTGAAAATTACATCAGTATTAAATGTCAGCAGTTCATTTCAACTAAAGATCTTCAATACTTGCAATGACTGAAATCATATTAAACTACACAACATCATAACTACTTTTGGATGCATTTTTCACACACAGACGAGAACTACGATAATTAACAGCTGAAAGTTAACAAAAGAAGCATTAAACTGAAGGCATTTCTAGCTTCACTTCGCCCTCTTTTAAGTGTGCCCACTTCTAGGCTTTTGACTGCTTAGGAGTTGCCAGTTTTAAGCTTCCGATTAACAGCAGCAACATTTTCGTTAAATCTCAAGAAGCAGAGAAATTATCTATTACATGGACAACTTTCCCTCCTTTTGTAATTAGTTAGTACGTCCTTGAAATACCGTCCCAGCTTTAGTTCCAAAACCTAATTAACATCCTATGGTGAGGTGACAATAATTGCAAATCACTAGAAATAAGAGTTTCCCTTTAAAAGTCTGCATAGGGTCCATCCCAAAGACAGTTTGTTATATTGCACATTTCAGTAGGATTTCCTCATTAATTTACATAAATAAAACACATAATTTGACTAATCTGTAACTGTATTTGCACGCTCAAAGGAGCCTAAATTTGGGTGCTTTCATTCCACGGCAAGAAACATCAAATAATCCTTTAATTTGATTTGTGTGTATTTGTAGGTGAACACCCCATTCAATTTGCACAACTTAATGTCCCGCAAACAGCCATGAAAGTGAATGACCATTTTTTATCTGGAGGATTGTTGTCCATGACACCAGAAGAAAATCCTTTCTTTTTCGAACAGTGTCATGGTATCTTTAATGTCCACCTAAACAGGTAGACGGTACCTCAGTTTAATAACTCGTCCAAAGGGTGGTACCTTCAACAATGCAGCACTTCTCCAGCACCAGCACTGAGTGTCAGTATACGCGATAAGTTCAAAATCCCAAATTGGGGCTTGAACCTACAACATTCTGACTCCGAGGAAAGAGTGCTGCCAACCGAGCCAGGATGACACCTAAATATTGAAGAATGAAAACTGTTGGATATTGCTTTAAATGGCAATTTCTTCTGGTGTCATGGACAACAATCCTCCAGATAAAAAATGGCAATTAAGAGAGAGGCAATCAGAAGAAGACAGGATGTATAAAAGGTCGCTGGAAGTCACACAAAATGTTATGGGTTTACAGTAGGAGTGTTGTATTGTTGTGAGCTGAGAATAAAGGAATTACTAAAAGATACCTTTGTTGTGGATTAAGAAATATTACAAAAACGTTCCATTTTAAATTCCAGACATCATCAAACACTCTATCAGATACAACACAGTCAGGTGTAGAGAAAAAGTAGCCCTATACTGACCTAAAAATGTGCCTTTAGCACCAGACCACAGGATAAAATGCGTACTGTATGTAGCTCCTTACACTGCCCAGTAACACCGGCAGGTGTATTTTATATTGGGTCATCAACTGGTTTATACAGACCCACAATATAATTTTAACACTGCTGGGAATTACAGACCTTCAAGATCCTTCTTTAAACAGTAGTGGACAGTTTTACTTTCTGTCCAGACAGAAGGTAGAACTGTAATCTATGACTTGTTTTGACACTGATGCTATGAAATAATGTTCTGCAAACTAAAATGGGGATAGAATTCATGGCAACAGGAGGAAAATGCTGTATCCTTGTAGAATCTGTTCATAGTATGTGCGCATAGGTATCATTAGCACTGTATACAACAACAACAAAATTACATTTATAGAGCGCCTTTCAGGTCGGGAGGACGTTCCAAGGCGCTGGACAGTCAGGGGTCAGGACCCGAGCAGGGGGGGAGGAGTGGGGTAGGAGTGAGGGAAGGAGAGAGGTGGGAGGGCGACCGAAGGCACGATTGAAGAAAAGGGTCTTGAGATCGGTCTTAAAGGAGGCAATGGAGGAAGTGAGGCGAAGGGACTGTGGGATGGAGTTCCAGAGTGTGGGGGCAGAAAGGCTGAAAGCTCGGCCACTGATGGTAGGATGGGTTGGGTGGGAGACAGTATTACAGTATTAGTTATACAGTATACAGTATGCAATATACAGTATTAATTACACCTGTAGTTCTGTTTCCCCTCACTAGAGGGCAAATCATAAATAACGAGATATAACTCATAACTCCCCACTATCATCACTTCAAAAACAGATACTGCATGAAGCTGGTAGCATCAGTAAAACTAAACTAATAGAGAATCCAGGTGGCACATAGATCTTTCCATTGGTTATATGCAGTGGCACAGCTCATAGTCTTTCCGATAATAAACTCTCTGTCACCTAGAGCAACTAATGTGCACCAGCAAACATTCTTTGTACAGAAAAATACTGTAGAGGAGCTTTGTCTTCTAAATTGATTTTCTTGGTACCGAAGGGATAATTATACGCTTAGCCCTTTTGTTTGACTAAAGAAAGAATATCCATTACAATCAGGCATACGTGAATTGTAAGATTTATTATTTGTGAGTAACTTGGTGCAAGATATCTAGAGAGGTAGAACATGTGCAGCATATATCCAGTAACGGTCTAAGGTAATTACAACAGCCCACTGATGTCTCAGTTGCTAAGGCCTAGAAACATAGCAAACTAGAAGCAGGAGGACGCCACTCAGCTCATTGAGCCTGTTCCTAGTCGAAAGCTGAGTCAAAATCAAATGCAAGAACTTTACTATTAAAAGTTCTGGAGGTTAGCTGCTGCTTGTGGGTATTTCACCCCTGTAGGAGTTGGTGCTTTTAGGGAGAAAGGTGGGAAAAAATGAAAACTTTTAAGTTTTATTTTCATCTATTTCTCTCCACCTCTCTGCAACCATATCGCATCACCAACTCATAGGCATTTCTGTAACATTAGGTAGTTAGCATTTGGTTCTGGCATCTCAAACATGCCAAGATGAAGAATCAGTTGACTATTAGTTCTATTTATATGGTGTTGTCTGCATTCATCAAACTTTACTTTGTGTGAAATTTGGGCAAAGATCAAAGAGTTTAAAATTTCACCAAGATAAATATTTTATGCTTTACATAAATGGATGCAGTAAAGCAATGTTGTGTTGCAATCAGTTAGAATTTTACTTCTAAACTCAAAACACCAATTACAGTAAACTTCTGTTAACTCGTCGTCCAAGGGAAAGGGGTTCAGTGAGGAGTTATCTAGAGTGGCGAGTTAGGCATATGTTTAAGTACATATATAAATGTGGGAATATACACTGCCTGATGACTTAATTGGTAGTGACAAGTTAAGACAGAGTCAAATTATCAGATTACTCTATTGTATTAGTAGTTCAGTACCAAATTTACCCCAATTGTGACATAAATTTGCACCAAAATATTTGTATAAACACCAAGTACATCACTAGTTGAGAATTGTCTTGAAAAGGCTTTGTATTGTGTCAGTCACAGGATACCTTAAATTAATGTACCATGACTGGAATTTAATCTCACTTACTGAGTCTGACCTCCCTCTCTCACCCGGAGCCAGTACACTAATGCTGGCATTGCAGTTAACGTGTTTGGGCTGGGACAAACATTGATGTCACTATGTGCCCAGTCTTGTCTGAAACATGCCCAATACCACTCCAACTTCAGATACAATGTGAAGCACATTAAGTGCACTGTAACTTACAGTAAAATAACAAATGTCCTGAGTAATATATTAGACCTACTTACGCAGAAAGCCTAAAAGTATAATTGTACTTCCTAACACCTCAACACAACACATCCAATATACCCTGCCTGGCTACTGCAACAGATTATCAGAACTTACTAATCATGTGGTTAATAGGTATCTTAACCGTCTTACAGTCTCTTCCTAATGGTGACTGTAAGTAATTATTCTAAATGTAAACCAAAGCAGGAATTCTGGGAAGCATGAGTTCAAACCATTTAATATAACCCACCACCTGCTCTCTCTATCCCATCCCCACCTCTCTCCTCATCTCCCAGCTCCACCTTCTGGCCCCTCTTCTGTCCGATGTCATCAACCTCTTAAACAACCTCTGTCTTGTCCTTCTCTCTTCATCTTTGAAAGCCTCTTTAACCATGCCGATTCAGTGCCCAGCACTTCAACACTTTACTGGAAGTGAAAGGCACCATATAAATGCAAGTTTCTGTACTTGGATCACAGCAAGAAAAGTACAAATGGAAAAAGCTACAAAAAGAGGCGAATAGATTACATGAATATTACGGAATATTAGGTTTATTTGCAAATCTGAATAAAATCTTACCTCTACAACTATTGTATAGCACCAGCAGAAATTATTACCTAGCAGGAACTCAACAAAGATTAGAGTTTTAGTGGAGTCCTGTAGCTCAGTGGTTAGAGCACTCGCCTTTGAGCGAAATACCTGAGTTCAATTCCAGGCAGGTCAGGGCGAAACCTTGGGCAAGTTTCCTTACTCCACACGCTAAAAATAATCCCTCCAAAAAAACAAAAAACAATAATAAATTAATAATTTTCAATCCACGACTGTTTGTGGGACACTTCTGTATGCAATTGACTGCCGCGTTTCGCCCACAAATGTACGGTCAAACCACTTTACAGTATATTCTGTGAAGCGCTTTGAGATGTCGAGAAGACGTGAAAAGCGCTATATCAAATGCAAGGATTATTATTATTATTCTAACCAGGCAATTCAAGTAACAATGAAATTGAATTTTGGACTAAACATTTTCCCCTCTTTTGGATGTCCACTTTTGGGAGTACATTCAAAACATTTTCCACTCGTTTGGAAAAACAGCTATAATCACCTCAATCCTGAAAAAACCTTCCCTGGACCCATCCCTGCCTTCTAAATACCGGCCCCTCTTCAACCTCCCTTTTCTTTCGAAGGTTCTTGAAAGACTCGTTGCTTCCCAGCTTCGCTCATTCTGCTCCTACCACTCCCTTCACAAGCCCCTCCAATTGGGTTTCTGTGCTCACAGCACGGAAACTGCACTGGTCAAGATGACAAATGACATTTTGTCCATCTGTGATCAGGGCTCCATCTGCCTCCTCGTCCTCTCTACTGCCTTCGATACCATAGATCACTCCATCCCCCTCCACCGCCTCTCCTCTCACCTCAACCTTCAAGATTCTGTCCTTGAATGGTTCAGATCTCATCTCTCACACCATCTCAAATCTGTCTCCTGCAACAGTTTCTCCTCCAGCCCCGCACAGTCTTGTGTGGTGTTCCTCAGGGCTGTATCCTCGGTCCCCTCCTCTTCAACCTCTACATACTTGGTGACATCATCTGCAAACATGGGATCAACTTCCACATGTATGCCGATGACGCCCATGGTGGTGTCCTGTAGCTCAGTGGTTAAGAGCACTCGCTTTGCAAGCGAGAGACATGAGTTCAATTCCAGGCAGGGCGAAACCTTGGGCAAGTTTCCTTACTCCACACGCCTAATAATAATCCCTCCAAAAAACAAAACAATAATAAATTGGTCATTTTCAATCTACGACTGTTTGTGGGACATTGCTGTGCGCAATTGGCTGCCGCGTTCGCCCACAAATATACAGTCAATTCACTTTACAGTATGTTCTGTGAAGCGCTTTGGGACGTCCTCCCAATGTGAAAAGCACTATATCAAATGCAAGGATTATTATTATTATTATTATTATCTGTGCCATGACCCGCTCTGCCTTCCCCCACCTCCGCAACATTGCCGAACTCCGCCACTGCCTCACCCCTCAGGCCGCCTCATACACAAATTCGTCGCCTCAAGGCTTGACTACGGAAACTCCCTAATTGTCGGCCTCCCCAATTCCTTCCTCCACAAGCTGCAGATCATCCAGAACTCTGCAGCTCGTGTCCTTTCAAACACCAGGCTGCGTGACCCCATCACACTCACCCTCGCCCGGCTCCACCGGCTCCCCATTGCTCAGAGGATAAAATTCAAAATCCTCGTCCTCACTTCTAAGGCCCCCCATGGCCTTGCCCCCTCCTTCATCTCTGACCTGCTGACACCCTATAAACCTGTCTGCCCACTCAACTCCCGTTTAACCCTGCAAGCTGAGCCCTAACACTTCGGGTGATCCTTGCTGGACAAGCAGCAGGAAAGCTTGTCAAGATACTAATATGAATGGCAAGGCTATGCGGCTGCAGCTGGTGACCCGTCAGCAATACATCTGCGGTCCCCGAGACTTCGCTCCCACCAATCTGTGCCTCTTCAGGTCAGACATCAGGTGAGCACAGTGCGTCCCCCTAACGCGAGGGTGTGCATTCCATTGCAGATGTGGGAATTTTATTTCAATCATTGTACCTCCTTATTAATCTATATCACCAGTATAATAATCCTCCAAAACCACAAACAATAATAAATTGGTCATTTTCAATCCACGACTGTTTGTGGGACATTGTTGTGCGCAATTGGCTGCCGCGTTCGCCCACAAATATACAGTCAATTCACTTTACAGTGTGTTCTGTGAAGCGCTTTGGGACGTCGAGAAGACGTGAAAAGCGCTATATCAAATGCAATGATTATTATTGTTATTATTATGACAGCAATAACCTAAATAACCCCTATAACCAGTTCCCTATGTAACCAGCATTAGTACTAATATTACCATAACCTATAAACCAGTATTATTACTCTCGCGGTACTAAACTGCATTACCATTATTAGTACTGTAAACCTGTATTAGTGCCAGTAACTTCTATAACTAGTATTATTACTAACATGATTACTGGTTACTAACCGGATACACCGCTCGAGCCGCGCCTCCAATCCCATCAACCACTGCCGCAAAGCGCCGGAAACTGAATGTCGTAAAGCGGGGAGGGCGGGCCGTTACCATGACAACACCCAGCACCGCGGCGTGAGAGCCCGACAGCGGCGCCGGTAACGTAACAATGTCACCTCCAAACACAGCCCAACACTGACTGTACATCACCTCTCAACACAGCCCAACACTGACTGTACATCACCTCTCAACACAGCCCAACACTGACTGTACATCACCTCTCAACACAGCCCAACACTGACTGTACATCACCTCTCAACACAGCCCAACACTGACTGTACATCACCTCTCAACACAGCCCATCACTGACTGTACATCACCTCTCAACACAGCCCACACTGACTGTACATCACCTCTCAACACAGCCCAACACTGACTGTACATCACCTCCCAACACAGCCCATCACTGACTGTACATCACCTCCCAACACAGCCCAACACTGACTGTACATCACCTCCCAACACAGCCCAACACTGACTGTACATCACACCCCAACACAGCCCAACACTGACTGTACATCACCTCCCAACACAGCCCAACACTGACTGTACATCACCTCCCAACACAGCCCAACACTGACTGTACATCACCTCCAAACACAGCCCAACACTGACTGTACATCACCTCCAAACACAGCCCAACACTGACTGTACATCACCTCTCAACACAGCCCAACACTGACTGTACATCACCTCTCAACACAGCCCATCACTGACTGTACATCACCTCCAAACACAGCCCAACACTGACTGTACATCACCCCAACACACCCAACACTGACTGTACATCACCTCTCAACACAGCCCAACACTGACTGTACATCACCTCTCAACACAGCCCAACACTGACTGTACATCACCTCTCAACACAGCCCAACACTGACTGTACATCACCTCCCAACACAGCCCAACACTGACTGTACATCACCTCCACCAGCCCAACACTGACTGTACATCACCTCAACACAGCCCAACACTGACTGTACATCACCTCCAAACACAACCCAACACTGACTGTTCATCACCTCCCACGCCCACTGTACCACACCCCTCAACACACAGCCCAACACTGACTGTACATCACCTCCAACACAGCCCAACACTGACTGTACATCACCTCTCAACACAGCCCAACACTGACTGTACATCACCTCTCAACACAGCCCACACTGACTGTACATCACCTCCCACAGCCACACTGCTACTGTAATCACCTCCAAACACACCCCAACACTGACTGTACATCACCTCCCAACACTGACTGTACATCACCTCCAACACAGCCCAACACTGACTGTACACCTCCACACCCCACCTGACACACCCCCACAGCCCAACACTGACTGTACATCACCTCCAACACAGCCCAACACTGACTGTACATCACCTCCAAACACACCCCAACACTGACTGTACATCACCTCTCAACACAGCCCAACACTGACTGTACATCACCTCCCAACACAGCCCATCACTGACTGTACATCACCTCTCAACACAGCCCAACACTGACTGTACATCACCTCCAAACACAGCCCATCACTGACTGTACATCACCTCTCAACACAGCCCATCACTGACTGTACATCACCTCCCACACCCCAACACTGACTGTACATCACCCCTCCACACCCAACACTGACTGTACATCACCTCCAACACAGCCCAACACTGACTGTACATCACCTCCAACACAGCCCAACACTGACTGTACATCACCTCCAACACAGCCCAACACTGACTGTACATCACCTCCAAACACAGCCCAACACTGACTGTACATCACCTCCCAACACAGCCCATCACTGACTGTACATCACCTCTCAACACAGCCCATCACTGACTGTACATCACTCTCAACACAGCCCACACTGACTGTACATCACCTCTCAACACAGCCCAACACTGACTGTACATCACCTCTCAACACAGCCCAACACTGACTGTACATCACCTCCAAACACAGCCCAACACTGACTGTACATCACCTCCAAACACAGCCCAACACTGACTGTACATCACCTCCAAACACAGCCCAACACTGACTGTACATCACCTCCAAACACACCCCACACTGACTGTACATCACCTCCCAACACAGCCCAACACTGACTGTACATCACCTCCCAGCACAGCGCGGACCAAGCATAATAAGATGGAATTGGTTGTAATGTTGCATATTATAGCATAAACCACAAACATATATATATAGAGATAAATAATTGTAATTAAATGTTGGAGGAGTGTATTAATGATGACACAGGAACAGTGGGGATCTGTGCAGAAAGAGTACTGCAATGGGAAGGTCAGCATCGTCCCGCACATGCGCACCAGGTAATGCTGGATCTCAGCGCGAGGGTCGCCGGGAAGGCGGGAAAGTTGAAGGTGTTTTGCTGTGTGAGTGCGGGCACTGCGGGAGTCGGTGCGGACACTCTGTCTGTCTCTGTGTTGTTGTCGGCATTACCTGTGTGTCTGTTTCCGTGTGCACACTCGCTCTGCGTGTGGCCGTCTGGACACTGTCGGACACCCGCTCGCCGTCTCTCTGTGTCCGTCAGACGCTGCCTCCCTGCGGCAGCTGCAGTCGTAGACGTCGGTCGTGGCGAGCGGCTGATATGAGAAGATCCGCAGCTCCGAGCCAACTCAGCGGGAACCCGGTGAAAAGGTTCCGGTTCGTCCCACCTGGCAACACTGACACCCAGAAGCTTGGCTCGGGAACTGCTGAACAACCGCCTTTAACCATCCCCCAGAAGAGCCACCAGGTACAAACACAACCAACTTGTCACGTCTGATACAATCTGCCTCGTGACGAGGGCTTAACCAAACAGTACTTTTAACCGGTACCTTACCTTGTTGAAGCAATGTGAGCGAGGATTTGGTTTTCACTCCTTGCATTACGGTTTCTGCACTTGCTATGAACGTAGATTTTCGTGTTGCGACTACCAATGCAGTTTTATTTGCAACCGCACACGTTTGTTTACCTTTTAAAAAAATGACAGTATTTTTCCACTAAACTCAAGGTTACAAAAGCGCAGAGTGTGAATGGTATCAGCCTGGCTCACAATACTGAGATTACCCTATGCAAACTCACCAATGACATTCTTTCCATCTGTGACCAGGGTTCTCTCTGCCTCCTAGTTTTTCTCTGCTGTCTTGGAAATGATCAACTACGCTGTCCTTCTCTGTCGCCTCTCAGCTCCACCTCCATAGTTCTGACCTATTCTGGTTTAATTCTTACCTCTCCCAGTGATTTCACTTTCTCTGATTGTTTCCCCAACTTCCCCCCACACCCCCCCACCTCACACTGTCGTATGCGGTGTTCTTCGGGGCTCTATTTTCGGTCTCTCGTCTCCAATATCTATATGCTCCCACTCTGCAATGTTATCCGCAGACATTGGAACCCTTCAACATGTAAGTGGATGACACACAACTCTAACCCGAATGTGCTTCTATTCCCGGACGATTCCTGTTCTGACTGATTGCCTGTCAGACATGTAGTTCTGGATGAGCTCTTAACTTTCTTGAGTTCAACGTTGACAAGACAGAGGCTCTCTTGCTTGGTTCCCATGAGGGCCTTCTCACTTTAAGTGCTGACAGCAGCAACCTGTGTGCATGTACACTCCACCTCAAGGAGTTGCTCTGGAGCCTTGGTGTCTTGATTGACTACCAACTGTCCTTCAAACCCCACATTGTGCTCTGACCCACTCAACGTTCCTTTATCTCTGAAACATTGCCCACCTCCACCATTATCTATCTCCTCAGGCTACTAAGACCCACATTCATGTATTTATCATGTGCAGGCTTGACTGCTCTAACGCTCTGTTCGCTCTTCTCTGCTCTTCCCAACGTAAACTGTAGATTATCCAGAACTGTACAGCTCTTCACTTTTTCCGCACCAGACTCTGCGAGTCTATCAACCCACATCCTCACTCTGTTCCTTTGGCTCCCCATCCCTCAGCAGATCAAGTTCAAGATACTTCTTCTCACCTTTAAATCCCGCCATGGTCTTGCCCTACTCTATCTCTGCTTCCTCCTGAAACCCTACTGAGCTGGACACTCGGTGAATACTGGCTCCTTGATGTCCCTACCCTACTTACGCCATCATTGGTGGGCAGGTTTTCTGCCCCCATTCTGGACCTCCATCTCTGATATCCTCTGACTTGTTCCCTTGAGATGGTCTTGTTCCAGGACCATCTCAAGATCCAGTTCTTTGCACTTTAGGTTATCTTTCTCCTCCCCACCCCTGTTGGCTTCCACTCCCAGCTCGGGTGCCCAGACAGTACTGTTAAGCATTTTGGGATGTCATCCTGACATGAAACATGCTATATAAACCTAAATTTGTTTTGTATTAAGTATAAACATGGATTGGAGTTGAAAAGCTTTTAGATAGACTAAATGTAAACTACCAACTAATGTTCAACTTCTGTTAACAGGTACCTTATGAAAATGATGATCAGCATTCCATGCCACCATCCAAAGCTTTTGGTATGATATGTGGGCCAAATCAGAATGCCCGTTATCACTCTGCTCCAACAAATGTGGATGAAAGTAGTCTCCTGGAGAAATCCAAATCAAAACCTTCATCTGCATCACTTGCTCTTTCTCCAGAAGCATTAAGTACAGGTCGGGGTGATGGTAAGTCCAATTGTCCAATTCTATACTGTTCCACACTCCTGACATCAGGTTTGGATTTTGTTCAGAGATTGAATTTACTCCTGCATCTGAGGCCATGTATTATTATTGTATTTACCAAGAGATTCAGGAACCTATAGATTCAGGAAGAATGGCTTTACAGGAAGTCCCCGGAAAACAATCTGTGCAACAAATCAATTTGCTTTTATCTTCTTCCCCCTTAAAAAAAAGTAGATAGATAAGGAGATAATCCAGGAAACTACTGGCTAGTTATCTAGTTATCCTTGGTGGATAAGGTACTGGAATTTGTAATAGAGAATGAAATAACAAAGTATCTCAAGAAAGAGAAAAGCAGCCAGCATAAATTTATTGAAGGAAGGTCATGGTTAATCGTCTTATTTAACTAATAATAATAATCCTTGCATTTGATATAGTGCCTTATCACATCTTCAAGGATATACTGTAAAGTGGATTGACTATATTTTGTGGGAGAAACACAGCAGCCAATTGTGCACAGCAGTGTCCCACAAACAGTTGTGGATTGAATAATTTTTTAAAAAAAAGTATTTTTATCCCCAGAAAAGCAATCCGACAATCGACTTCTTTGATTATTTGAAGAAGTGATAGATAAGTCCCTCCTTGGCCCCCACCACTTCCAAATTCAACCCTCAGTTCGGGTTCAAAACCCTCGACTGTTTGGCGCCTTGGGATGTCCTTCCAGTGTGAAATTCACTACGTAAATGTGGATAGGTACTTTAAAAAGGAATTTGGGGTAGGAGCGGGGCGGGGGGGGGGGGGGTGGGGGGGAGTGGGACTAGTTGATAGCTCTTTTAAAGTGCTGGCACAGGCCTTGAGATTCTGTGATAAATGCAATCTGTTGCTGTAGACAAGAGAAATGCAGTGATTGTAGTATTTATGAACTTCCAGAAAGTCTTTGACAAGGCACTGAATAAGAGACTTATGGCTAAATTAAGGCAATTGTGGAGACGTAGGAGAGGTAGCAGAATGGATTGAGAGATGGCTAGAAAATATAAAACAAAAAGTACATTGTGATGTTCTCAGGGATTAGTATTAGGATTGCTTTGTTCACCATGAACAAAAATGATTTGGAATTGTATATAGGAGGTGAGTCAAAATTTGCAGGTGATGCTGTCACCAAAATGCTGTGTGAAAGGTTTAAATTCTGATGTACTTTTTATATATAGACAACTGTGTTTGTTTAGACTGCATAAAGTAGATTTTGATCTACATCATTTTAAATGTAAACTTATGTTTTCTGGCCCTTATTCAAAGGTTCAAAGTCTTTGGCTCTGAAGTGTCTTTATACATTACTGTTTCTGTACTACAATGTTTAATCAGTTAACCGTATTTACAATGAATTAACCCTAAGCAAGTGTAGTTTGAAATAAGGATTTGATTTTGTTGCCAGTTTTGTTCTGCTATTCTCCCACACATAAGTTTCCTCTACTCACACATTGTCTGGTACTGTTCCCACCACATTAAAAAACGCTGTCATCACTCCTATTCTTAAAAAACCCTCCCTGCATCCTTCTCTACTCCCTAACTTTTACCCCATCTCCAACCTCCCCTTCCTCTCCAAGGTCGTAAAACGAGCTGTTGCTTCTCAGCTTCGCTACTTCCTCTCCTGCCACTCCCTTCTCGAACCGCTCCAATCGGGTTTCCCTGCAGCCCACTGCACAGAAACAGTCCTGGTCAAAGTGACAAATAATATTCTGTCCATCTGCAACCAAGGCTCTCAGCCTCCTTGTCCTCCTTGACCTCTCTGCTGCTTTTGACACTGCCAACCACTCTATGTCTTTTGGACATCAAGTCCTGGATGAGAGCTAACTTTCTTCAGTTGAACGTCAACGAGACCGAGGCTCTCCTGATTGTCTCCCGTCAGCACCTCCACACCTCAGACGCTGACAGCATCACCATCCATGGTTGCACACTCCGCCTTACTAATCCAGTCTGGAACCTTGGGGTCTTGTTTGACTCTCAACTATCCTTTCTACCCCACATCTGCGCCATGACCCACTCTGCCTTCCCCACCTCCGTAACGTCGACCAGCTCCGACACTGGCACACCGCAGACCGCCAAAACCCTCATACATGCTTTCATTACATTGAGGCTCGACTATACAAACTCATTGCTTGTCGGCCTCCGCAACTCCTCTCTCCCGAGGCTGCAAGAACTCTGTAGCCTGTGTCCTCTCCCGTCCTAGGCTCCACGACCCTATCACCCCCATCTTCCCATCAAACAGACGATGCAGTTCAAGATCCTGTTCCTCACCTTCAAACCCCTCCATGGTCTTGTTCCCCCCTACCTCTGCGACCTCCTAACCCTCTACCACCCTGCTCGTGCTCTCCGCTCAGTGGGCTCCGGCCTGCTTCACGTCCGCCGCCTTGCTCACCCCACTATTGGCGGGTGGGACTTCCGCCACTCTGTCCCCACCCTCTGGAACTCTATCCTGCAGTCCCTCCGCCTTGCCCCCTCCCTTGCCTCCTTCAAGACCTATCTCAAGACCCTCCTCTTCGACCGTGCTTTCGATCTCTCTGCTTCCCCCACTGCGATGCACCCTCCATAACCCCGACCCCCAGCTCGGGTCCATATCTCTGTCTGGTCCAGCGCCTTGGGACATCCTCTCAACTTGAAAGGCGCTTTACAAATATAATTTTGTTGTTGTTGTTTGAGCCCGTTCAGCTCTCCCCTTGCCAGGCTCCATCAGCTCCCTATTTCCTCAGCGGATTGTATTAAAGATCCTCGTTCAAATAGTTGCCCTAATCTATGTTTATGATCTGTTGATTTATTTCCTGCCCATTCTCTTTGCTCTGCCAACTCTGGCCTGTATGTCTCTGCTCCCTCAGACCCACCACAGGCGGTTCAGCTTTCAGCCATCTTGTCCCTGCTTTCTAAAACTCTCCCTAAATCCCTCCGCCTTGCTCCCTCCCTCTGAGCTTTCAAAACCATCTAAAAACCTATCTCTTTGACTGCATCTTTGGCTTCCTTCCATTTACCCCTCCTATCTCCCACTCTGTTTCTGTAAAAACATCAAGGAGTTCACTTATGTGATAGGTGCTTTTCAAGTGCAAGTTGTTGTTGGTTGGTTGTTTTACAAAAAATAGCCCAGTGGCAAAATGTCAAATATCTGGATACCTGTATCGTATTGGTAACTGTTGTCTAGCAGGCAATGTAAGGTTTGAAACCTTCCTGTTCAGAATGCAATTGGTCTACAAGCAGTGAGAATCTTTGAGGTGTCTTCCTGACATGAAAGGTGTTATATAAATAATTTTATTGTTCTTGAAGCTGTCTCTGGGTGTGCTCAGGTAAAGTTTTGGGGGGTTGTTTGGTCATGGTCATCCTAGCGTTGAAAAGACATGATCCTCTAAGAAGAAATGATGTCCGAGAGCAGGTGTCTCCAAATCCCTCCGAATTGATCAACACTAGATGGCGCTGTAGTACATAATCAAAAAGGCAAGAGAAAAGAGACAGAACTGTGTTGTTTTTGACTCAAAAAGTTGAAGCCAGAGTATCTCATGCATCTTAAAATAAAAATATAAGCATTGATGTTTAAATTGCAATAAATATCCCTCCTGGCAAGGATACACCTTACTAAGCCTGTCCAGAACCTTGGCGTCTTGTTTGACCCTCAACTATTCTGTCTACCCCACATCCGTGCCATGACCCCTTTTCTTCCCCCCTCGGCAACTTCACCCAACTCCGCCACTGTCTCACACCGCAGGCCACCGAAACCTTCAAACATGCATTCAAAATATCCAGGCTTGACTATGCAAACTCCCTGCCTGTCGGCCTTCCCAACTCCTCTCTCCATAGGTTGTAGATCATCCAGAGCTCTACAGCCTGTGTCCTCTCCCGTGCCAGGCTCTGTGAATCACCCACATCTTCGCCCGACTCCACTGGGTTCCCATCACACAGAGGATACAGATCAAGATCCTGGTCTGCACTTTCAAAGCCCTCCGTGGTCTTGCTCCCCCTTACCTCTGCGACTTCCTAACCCTTTACCAACCTGCCCACTCCCTCCGCTCAGCGGGTTCCGGCCTGCTTCACGTTCCCTGCATCACCCGTTCCACCATTGGCAGGCAGGCCTTCAGCCACTCTGCCCCCACCCTCTGGAACTCCATCTCGCAGTCCCAACGCCTCGCCCCCCCCCCCCCCCCGGCTCCTTCAAGACCCATCTCTTTGACCATGCCTTCGATTAACCTCCCTCCCACCCTCCCCGATCCCGACCCTTAGCTCGTATCCGAAGTACTGATTGTCCAATGCCTTAGGAGGTCCTCTCGACGACAAAAGGCTCTATAAAAATGTAACTTTGTTATTGTTCCTGTTATTTTTATTCAGCATGCATGAGATGCTACCTTGCAGCGATCAGCCAGTTGGAGACCTCCGTCCTAGTGTCTGATATTCCAGCATGTGCCCAGATAAACGTTCATTCAATAATGCTGTCAGTTCCTTTCTACATTATTGAATAACGGAAGTGTAGTTGTACCATTTTTCTGAACTGTTCTTGCCCTCAAGTGAGCTGATGGGATGTGACTCTGGTCAGGTCCAGATTGCCGGTGTGGACAGAGCATCTCCTGTGTGCACAGGTTTGGTATCAATACTGGCTGTCAAGAAATTATTCTTTTTTATGTTTCTATCCAATTCCCTTTGGAAAAGAATTGTGGTCTTGCCTTAACCTGAGCACAATGCTGCTGATCTGATGCTGGTGTTCAAGCAGTTTAATCAGTGTCCTATAAACTCAGACATTGTGACTATTTTGCCAGTGGTGCGCAATGTGTATAGGGTATGCTCCGTCCTTGTGATGTACAGTGAAAGAAAATTTTGCTGCTTTTTTGGGAGTCAGCTGGGTGTCTTGACACATGTGGAAACCTGTCACCAAGCTTAAGATTATCCAAACCAAGCTGAGATTTCCATGCATCCCACCTACATGTGGAAATCCCAGAGATAGATTGTTTAAGCAGCGGCTGCTTACGTCTCTCCAGGCCAATCGGGGTGGATTCCAAGTGCTGGATTTAGAGACACATGTTCACAAACTCAGACACCAGGTAACACCTTCCAGCAGCTGACTCCCCAAGTCGCAGAGTTTCCTCGTCAGCTATCTGACGGGCATCTGCGTTCAGTGTGGTGGGTGGACCTTTACACGAGAGCTTGTGATGTGCCAGCCACCTTGATATTCTCGAGGTACAAGTCCAATGCCGTGTACCAGGCTTACTCAGCACCAGCTGTTCAATCCATCAGCTGTCTTCATGCAAGGGCAAATAAACGCGCCCATTGTGCAGCTGACTCTGCCTCCAGGGTTAGCGACAGATCAGTGTGGGCCGGAACCCTCCTCACTGTAGCCGCTTCCCGTGTTTACCACATCCACCTCACTGCTTGATCCTGGACTTTGCAGATGGGTTTCCTTATTTATATGCTCCCTCCTGGTGATGTCATCCGCAGAAATGGGGTAAATTTCCACATGCATGCGGATGACACACAAATCTACTTTGCCTCCTCCAGTACCAACTCCAGGTCCGCCGATGTTCTATCAGCTTGTCTGGCAGACATCAGGGCCTGGATGGGTGTAAACTTCCTGCAGCTCAAATGCGATGCTGACATTTATTACAAGAGGTCTGCAATATAAAAGGAAGGAGGTGTTTTTCCAGTTATATGGAGCGCCAGTCAGAATTAATTTGGAATACCGCGTTCAGTTTTGGGCATCTAATCTTAGGAAGGATATAGTAGCCTTAGAGGGTGTCAGGGGTGGTTCACTAGACTACGACCTGGGCTGAAAGGATGTAGCTATAATCAGAGACTGGGTAGACGGATTATGTTTCTAATAGAAAAGGAGGCTGAGGGTGATTTTTTTTTAGGTATTTAAAATAGTGAAAGACTTGACAGGTTAGATAATGGACGACCGTTGCCCTTGGTGGAGTAATCCATTAAGAGTGGGCATAACCTTAAAATCGGAGCTAAGACAGATAGAATGTGGTCAGAAAGGAATTCTTGGCACCAAGGGTTATAAACATGCTCTGGCCCAGAAAACTGTAAGACAGAATCAATAAGGATATTTAAAGGACAGATACTTAGGTAGTAGAGGTATTAAGTGGTTGTTGAAGGGGGGAGGGCATTGGGATTAAAGGATCTGTTCAGATCTAATAAACTGGTAAGCTCTAAATACACCATCCTGTACAATCATCCTCCACCATCCATCCTCAACAACAACAACTTGGATTTATATAGACGGCATCTCAGAGAGCTTTACAGTTTAGGATCGCACGACCGAGCCAGGGGGAGGGGTGGGAAGGTGACCAAAGGCGTGGTCGAAAAGAAAGGTCTTCAGCAGAGACCTGAAAATGGGAAGGGAGGGAGCGAGACGAAGGGAGTGAGGAAGGGAGTTCCAGAGCCTCGGGGCATAGTGGCTGAAGGCACGGCCGCCGAGGGTGGAGCAGAGGACTCGGGGGGACAAGGAGGAGGCCAGACCCGGAGGAACGAAGGCAACAGGCACTGCTTTGAGGAGAGAGGAGGTCAGAGAGGTAGGGGGGTGCAGAGGAGTGCAGGGACTTGAATATGAGGATGAGGATCTTGAAATCGATCCTCTCTGGGATAGGCAGCCACTGCAGTCTGGCAAGGACTGGGGTGATCGGGGAGCGGAGTTTTGTGCGAGTTGGATTTTATGGATGGTAGTGGATGGGAGACCGGCGAGGAGGGCGTTTGAATAGTCCAGCCGGGAGGTGACAAAGGCATGGACCAGAGTTTCGGCGGCTTTTGGGGAGAGGTATTGGCGGAGACGGGCGATGCATCGGTGGTGGAAGAAAGCAGTACTGGTAAGGGACTGGATGTGGGGGAGGAAGGATAATTGGGAGTCGAACTTGATGCCTAGGTTGCGTACGGGTTCGGAGAGTTTTAGGGGGAGATCGGGTAGGTGGAGAAGGTGAGAACCATGTGATTTTAGACGTTGACGAGAGCCAAAGAGTATGGCTTCCGTCTTGTCAACGTTCAGCTGAAGGAAGTTTGCGCTCATCCAGCCCCTGAGATCTGACAGGCAGGCTGACAGAACATCAGGGGACTGGGGGTCGCAAAGAGAGGTGGAAAAGTAGAATTGGGTGTCATCTGCATACATGTGGAAATGTATGCCATGTCTCACTCATAAATAACTTGTTTCAGTTCTCCCCTCCTCCCTCTTAACTGAGGCCACGCGTAATGCTCATTGCTGCTCTGATTGAGATCAGTAATGCAACAACAACAATATTACATTGTTTAGTGTCTTTCACATCAGGAAGACATCTCAAAGTGCATCACAACCGACTGGGAACCTGAGCTGGGGTGCGGGGAGCTGAGGAAGGTGGGGGCAAAGCTGACAAAAAGTACAGTTGAAAAGAAAGGTCTTAAAACATTAAAGGTAAGGAGGGAGGAAGCAAGGAGGGATGGAGTGCCAGAAAGTGGGGGCAGAATGTCTGAAAGTTCAGCCGTTGACAGTGTGGTGAGTCAGGCAGGGAAATCAAGCAGGTTGAGCCGAAGGAACGACTGGGGTGGTATGAATGCACGAGGTTGCAGAGGTAGGGTGGGGGGAGGGGAAGAGTCATGGAGGGATTTGAACAGGAGGTCAAGGATCTTGAATTCATTCCATTGGGGGATGGGGAGCCAGTGGAGTTGAGCGAGGATCAGGGACGCAAGCTGCAGAGTTCTGGATTATACACTCAGGACAGCTGGGAATTGCAGCTGGAACATTCCTGGTCTATACAGTTCCTTTTCACACCAGAAAATGACTTCAGAACTGAACTATTGGGAAAGCCCTGGAAATACATCAAAGTACTGGGAAACATGTGTGCCTCATATTGAGAATACTGTTTAGATTTCAAGGGTAAGAAAGACATGTTAGGTTAATCATAATTACTTTGCTAAAACACAAGAGGTGTCCTGATAGGTTTCAATACAATTTCACCTTTTGTCTGTGATCAAAGGCAAAAAAGATTCACCAAATGCATTTTGGTGAAGATCTGCTTCTTTTAAATGTCACAATTTTTTCCACCATATTATATATTTTAGTAGTTTTGCTTATATCATTCTGTGTTTAGTAGGTACCGTATTAAACAATAATTTGTTGCCTTGAAAACAAATGTTAACCAAATTTGTCCTGACTCTTCTAAGCCTTGCTAAGATTATTTTACTTCCATTGATCTTTGCAGGAGTATTCTGGTATATGATTATGACAAAGCAATTATCATTTATCTTACATATTTGAAATGTCAGCAGATGACAATATGGTGCCATTCTTAATTCTTAATACAGAATCAGTATTCTGGCTACTGACCTATTTAAATTAGATTCAGAAATTGTTATAATTTCTTCCTGAGCATTGTAGAATTTTTACATATTAATTGAAATATGCTAAAATGATTGTACTAGACTCTGGGAACTCTCTCCGAGACGCATAAATGTCACAGAGTTTGAATTTAAATGATGATATAATTAATTTGAATGACTTATTTTTGCAAGCTATTTTGTGGGTGTTTCAACAGGGAGTGTCTCATGTAATCTTGTGTTCTGTGTTTATTTCCAAAGCATGTTCAGAGCCCTCATAATTCTAAGATTTTTTTTTTAACGCAATCGTTTGCAAATATGACTCCAAACATGATTTCACTTTTCATCTGTGGAAAGAGAACTGAGAAACACTGAGTTGCCTGCAGCCTGCGATGCCATAGAGTGTCTGACCTGAGCACAACCTAGCTTGATAGAGGAAGTGAAGTTCCTTGATTGACATCAGAACTAGCATGGGGAATGCAAACAACACTAAAAGCTCCACAGCAGGATTACTGGGGCCCTGTCAGGGATCAGTGCACGGACTACAGAATACTTGTGCATTCTGTTCAACAAAAAAATTCTTTGTTTGATCATGTGTCGAGTTTTCCTGCGTCAAACATGAAGTTCAAACCGAATTCCTCTTTTAAGGTTTTTTAAAAAAAAACCTGCAGTTTTTAAGCAGAAACTTAAACTGCTGTACAATGTCATGGCACAAAGATCAGACTAATTTCGATATAAATAAGTTCGCCTTCACCACAGTAAAATGTCAGTCTCAGAACACCTGTACCTTTACAGAGATTTTGTTGCTACCGCTTTCATAGCCAAAATAACAGATCAGATAACCAAACCGACCCCAGCGTTTGATTGGTCTCAGCATCAGGGGCTTGCACAGTCTCATTTTAGTCTGGAGCCTTAAGTAGGTCAGGCCTAGCTTAGCCAGCCTGCAGATGATCAGCTGCAGATGATCTCTGGATGAAGTCAAGCTGAAAGGAATTTCAATGAACCCTTCCTGATAGGCGTAGGCCTAAACGAGGCTGGCCTAGTTAAGCTTCAGCTTATAGTGTGAGCACAGAGTTTGCAGTTCAGAAGTTTGCGGGATGTGCTCTGTGCAAAATATGCTTGGGAAAAAATCAAACCGTTCCTCAAATTTCACCATATATGAAAAGATAGATTTGCTGAAACTTGTTCGGCCACATATCAAAGTCCTGGAGGTTCATAAAAATAATCAGGCTATCATAGTGGAGAAAAACCGGTGCTGGGAATCTATAGCACAGCAGTACAATGCCGTTGGTGTGGACCGTCCTCCTCGCAGTGCACAAGCTTTGCGGACACTGTACAAGCGCATTAAGGAGAGTGCTAAACAAGAGGTAGCCAGGAGAGAGCAGCTTCATCCAGACTATAAAGGAAACGTCTCTGAACCAACTAGAAGAATCCTAGAAATGATTCCTCACATTTTCCAACCGCTGTTGAAGGTGATGGACAGCGACAGCTTACAACGGTAAGAGATTCGGTTGCTTTGTTAATTATTGGAAAAATAACTTTGCAAAAAAAATCCTGAATTATGTATAATAACACTGCGTTTCTCCAAGTCCGTACTGTATGTGTCATCGTACAAGTTAATGGTGAAAAATAACATTCACACCTGAGACTTATCAATCTGACTGAGAGCAGAGATTGAAGTTTCACAGCTACCTCAGGTCCCAAGTGTCCGAGGGCCTCCCTCAAAAATGCACCGCAAGTTTGAGTCTTGGAGTGAGGAGGATTGTAACTGGACTACATCACTGAGCAACAAACAACAAAAGTCATGGTTTTGATCACTAGCGACCCCTGCTGTAAGGTGCATGTATGTGTAGATTATTATTGAGCCTAAAACCTGGTCCTGAATTTCCAACAGTGTTTCGAAGTGTTAGGAGAATATCCTAACTAGAATGATATTTTTGAAATCTTTCAAAATTCAGAATGTTGGCATAGCAGCAGCAACAACAACAAATTGCATTTATATAGCGCCTTTCACATTGGGAGGACGGCTCAAGTCGCTGGATAGTCAACGGTTTGCATTCGAGCCGCGGGCTGGAGTCAAAAGGGGTAGAGGGCAAAGGGGGTGGTGTTGGAAAGATAACCAAAGACACAGTCAAGGAGGAAGTTCTTGCGACAGGCCTTGAAGGAGGCAAGGGAGGGCGCGAGGCAGAGGGTCTCCGGGAAGGAATTGCAAAAGGTGGGTGCAGAAAGGCTAAATGCTCGATGCTGGAGCGGGCAGGGGAATGGAGCTTGCCAGTGCCCGCTGAGCAGAGGGAGCGGGCAGGTTGGACGGGTTATTAAGAGGTCACAGAGATAAGTCGGAGCAAGACTGTGGAAGGTTTAAAGGGGAGGACAAAGATTTTTAACTCAATCCTCTGGGGGAGGAGTAGCCAGAGATGCTGGGAAAGGATGGGGATTTTCAGCTCACGGAGCTTAGTGCTTAGCAATAACATTTTATTCCAATTGATTAATTTTACACAATATTCTTTGATTTGATATAGCACCTTGTCTCATTGTCAAGATGTTTTACTGTAAAGTGTAGTGACTGTGTTTTGTAGGCAAATGTGGGAGCCAGCTTTGCACAGCAATGTGCTACAAACATCCATAAAATGAAAGACCAATTTTAACTGGGGGATTGCTAGCCCCAACACTGACAGAAATGCCCTTCTCTTTTTGAATAATGCCAGGGGATCATCAACATCCAGATAAAAAGGTAGTCGGGACATCATCAAGTTGCTGACTTTCTGCAATGCAGTGCACCTCCAGCAAACTGTGTCAGCCTAGTGTCAGTGTCAGCTTGATAACATGAATTGCAAGTCCTGATATGATCCACAACCTTCTGACTCAGAGGTGAGGATGAGAGTGCTACGAACTGAGTCAAAACTTCCTCCCTCCTTCAAAACCCTCCTTAAGAACTATCTCTTTAACCGTACTTTCAGCCATCTTTTCCTTCCCTTCCTCAGCTCCCCTCTCCCCACCCCCCAAAGTTCAGCCACCCAGTCTGTTATCCAAAGCACTTTGAGTCATCCTCCCGAACAGAAAGGCACTATACAAATATAAATTGTTGTTGTAGTTTCTATCCTGTTCAAGCCAGAATGTTTGATTGAGAGAACATTGTTGTAGGATTTAAATTATCAGTAAAATTGAAACCTGTACATCACATATAAATTGTAATAGTCTGAGTGAAGTTTTGCTATCCAAGCTAACAGCACAGGTGATACTGGACATTCATGAGAAAAAGGAAAGCCGTGAAACAAAGCAAGAATTGGTCGGAGCAGAAATAAGAGTGGAATAATTAGATATGAGGATTAATAAAAGTCCAGGACTAATGTTTTCTAAAAAAAATCTAAATGAAGCAATTTACCACCATGGGTTGGGGTCATTCAAACTTGTAGAAATGTGTCAGTTTCTTCTCCCCTTGGTACCTCTTCCAAGTGACTGTTCTTCATGTGTGATCTGAATGTCAACATGAATATCAACATTGAAGGGTATGGCAACCGACACTGCTGTGCACAAATACACACCATATCCAGCAGGGGGCACTGGATAGTGATTCAGAGTAGGAATGCTGGCAGATTATTAAATTGACATTTTGTTGAAGTGAGGCACAGTATTTTGTAAAAAAAAGGAATTTGACTGTATTGCTGCAACATTGGATGGGCATTTAATTTGCAACCTGCTCCCAAGTTTCTATTTAAAAAGTAAGAATGGAGGAAAAGCGCTTGTAAAGACTGTTAAAGACCCAATCTTGTTCTGCACAACACAAGATGCTACAGACCATGTTGTAACCCACATTTAGTCATGCCAAAAAAGAAAGGAGACAAGCTTGAACAAGAGGAAGAGCAGCTCGTATAGCTGTTTTTAGTTCTGTGGAATTTTTCAGCAACATTATTTGCAATTGACAAGCAGTCAACCTGAGCCACTCTTGATGTTCAGTTGTGGTTGCCAAGGGAAGAGAAAAATGCAAGTGATCCACAAAATGACCCAGGCAACAAGTGTCTTTCACTCTTTTTACTACAAATGGTTTTAGGAACGTGGGTTTGCAAATAGATGTTATGNTTTTTTTTAAACTCTCCGACGTTGACAAGGAAAACTTCTTTGGATCACTGTCCCCTGCTAAATTTGAAACAACAGCTCAGCGCATTAAAAGCTTGAAATTATAACTCGTATAACTTATAATTTGAGCTAACTCAGCGGTGGAAACCTGACTTCTCCCTTCGTGCCCATTTATTTAGACAAATTTTTAAGATAACAGAAACAAATTTTGAAAAGATTTAGGGCTGTTTCCACAGGAACATACAAGGTTAAGAAGTGATCTAAGGAGAGATATCCAAATTCTGATTGATTTTAAGAGAATAGACAATGAAAGATTATTGCTGGTGCTCGGAACTAGGGTCTCAAACACTGGAAGATTTAACAACAACAAAATTACATTTGTAAAGCGCCTTTCACGTTGGGAGGACATCCCAAGGCGCTGGACAAACAGAGTTATGGACCCGAGTTGGGAGTTGGGGTCAGGGAGGGTGGAGGGCAGGGGGGGGAAGCAGGGAGATCGAAAGCATGGTCGAAGAGGAGAGTCTTGAGATGGGTCTTGAAAGTGGCAAGGGAGGGGGTGAGGCGAGGGACTGCGTGATGGAGTTCCAGGGGGTGGAGGCAGAGTGGCAGTAGGCCCGCCCGCCAATAGTGGGGTGAGCGAGGCGGGGGATGTGAGGCAGGCCAGAGCCCACTGAGCGGAGGGAAGGAGCAGGATGGTAGGGGGTTACGAGGTCGTAGAGGTAGGGGGAGCAAGACCGTGGAGGGCTTGGAAGGTGAGGACCAGAATCTTGAACTGCATCCTCTGTGTGATGGGAAGCCAATGAGGATGGGGGTGATAGGGTTGCGGAGCCTGGTGGGGGAGAGGACACGGGCTGCAGAGTTCTGGATGATCTGCAGCCTATGGAGGGAGGAATTGGGGAGTGGCAAGCATAATTGAGCTTTGATGTAATGAAAGCATGTATGAGGGTTTCGGTGGCCTGCGGTGTGAGACAGTGGCGGAGCCGGGCTACGTTGCGGAGGTGGGGGAAGGCAGAGCGGGTCATGGCCCAGATGTGGGGTAGTAAGGATAGTTGAGAGGCAAACAAGACCCCAAGGTTCCAGACTGGATTAGCAAGATCGAGTGTGAAACCATGGATGGTGATGCCGTCAGCGCCTGAGGTGAGGAGGTGCTGACGGAAGCCAAGCAGGAGAGCCTCGGTCTTGTTGATGTTCAACTGCAGAAAGTTAGCTCTCATCCAGGACTTGAAGCCTGACAGACATTCTGTCAGGACAGCAGTGGTCCTGGAGTCAAGGGTGGAGGCAGAGAGGTACAGTTGGGTGTCCTCCGCATACATGTGGAAGTTGACCCCATGTCTGCGGATGATGTCATCAAGAGGGAGCATATAGATATTGAAGAGGAGGGGACCAAGGACAGAGCCCTGAGGAACACCGCACGAGACGGTGCGGGGGCTAGAGGAGAAGCCGATTGTGGAGATGAAGTGCTGGCGGTGTGAGAGGTATGATCTGAACCAGTCAAGGACAGAGCTGTGAAGGTTGAGGTGAGGGGAGAGGCAGTGTATGAGGATAGTGTGGTTGACGGTGTGGAAAGCAGCAGAAAAGTCAAGGAGGACAAGGAGACAGAGGAAGCCCTGGTCGCAGATGGACAGAATGTCATTTGTGACTTTTAACAGAGCTGTTTCTGTGCTGTGGGCGGCACGGAAACCCGAATGGAAGGGGAGATTAAAATGATAAAGAGTTAACAGTATGGAATGCTTTGCCTCAAGGGACTTGAGGCTGAGATCATAACACTTCAAAGGAATTGAACAGGAGGAATATAAAAGAATATGGGGGAAGCAGTGAATTGGGTTCATGGTGGTTTACTACAGTGGATGAGTTAGCACCATCTTAGGGTCCATGGGCTGAATGACCTCCTTCTGTACTGCAGTTTATATGAAACGAGAAAACAGAATCCCTTTATCTACATCAGTGTAAACTTATTTGGAGCAGAATTTTGTAGACAAAAGAGCTTGTGGGTTGTGTATGTTCTTACAATAATAATATTTTTTCCATTTGACATGGCGCTTTTCATGTCTTCTAGACGTCTCAAAGCGCTTCATAGAATATACTGTAAAGTGAATTGACAGTATATTTGTGGATGAAACATCATTTAATCAATATAACTTAATGCATCACAACAGTACTAATTAGGAGATTTTTGGCCAGGACACTGAGAGTAATTCCCTTCTCGAATACTGTAGTACCATCAGATCTTTACTGTCTACCTGAGCAGGCTGTTTACTAGCTGTTAAAGGATTGTTAAACTGAGGTCCCTTCTGTTTGTTCAAGTGGACATTAATGGGACTTTTTGAGAAGAGAGGTAGTTTCTCTGGTGCCTTCACTTATTGGCTGTTTGTGGGGCATAAAATAAAATTGGCTGCTGTGTTCGCCTACAAATATCTAGCCAACACACCTTACAGGAAATCCTGTGAAGAACTTTTAAGACATTTTGCTGGAATGTGAGTGTTCAAATGTTGGGTCAGTATAGGATTGGGGTCAGGTGTAAAATGTCCTGCATGGATATTTTTTGCTCATGCCTCACAAAGAAGGCGTTTTTTTCCTAATGTCACTTCACAGCTGTTTCTGGGATGTAGCTGTGCACACATTGGCTGCCGAGTTTGCCTATAAACTATACAATCACTAACTTTGTAATGAATTCCTCATACATTTCAAACACGTGAAATGAATTATTAAATTATAAGGTTTATTATAAATTAATAATTGCTGTTTGGATGACGTACTGGTGGAAGCCAGTGTTTTCAGCGGAGGAGGAGGTGGGGAAAAAAACAACCACAAAACAGTGTATGATTGAAATAAATGTGTGGCGATTGGGGGCAAATTGATTCTGCTCTTAAATTAAGAATGACTTGAGTATTGTGTGTGGCAATTCAAATAAGTATTAATAATAATAATCGTCCTTGCATTTGATATAGTGCCTTTATATAATGGAATCCTGTAGCTCAGTGGTTAGAGCACTCATCTCGCAAGCGAGAGACCTGGGTTCAAATCCCAGCAGGGTGCAACCTTGGGCAAGTTTCCTTATTCCACACACCTGATAATAATCCCCCAAGATAAAAAACAATAATATTGTTCACTTCAATCCACGACTGTTTGTGGTCAATTGGCTGCCGCGTTTCGACCTTAATTCTATTCACTTTACAGTATATCCTGTGAAGCGCTTTGAGACATCCAGAAGATGTGAAAAGCGCTTTATCAAATGCAAGGATTATTTTTATTTAACATTGGGAGGATTTCTCAAAGCGTTTCACAAGATTTACTGTAAAGTGTAGCGACTATATATATTTGTAGGTGAACATGACAGCCAGTTTCTGCATAGCAATACCTGCAAAAAAACATGAAATGAATGAGCATTTTTAAAAATCTGGAGCACAGGGAGAAACATCTTTTTTCAAATCCTGCCATAAGATTTGTAGCATCCACCAGAACATGTAGACTTGTCCATCTCATCTGAAGGACGATTTGTCAAATAATCAGTGCTTTGAAACTTTATCCTACATGAAGAACACTATATAAATACAAGTTGTTGTTAATCCAGTGCTTCCCACACACTACACTTGAGTTATTCTAGATCTAAAGTCATAATGTGGGTTTGAATTTAAAGCCTTCTGACTGAAGGGAGAGTGCTACCAACTGAATCAGGCTGACACCCTAATGTTAAGGGAAACATATTTTACCTGAATATTGCTGTAAGACAATTTGTATAACTTAGTGTCTGTTGATCTCTGATGACATGTGTTTAATGTGCATTTAGTTGTAAACTATTTGTTACAGTTTTCTTTGTTACACTATGTTTTATTTATATTTTTCATCAGGCGTGGAGGGAGTTCTGCTTCTGAACAGGATTCCTGTGTGGAACAGCCTAGTACCCTGTATTTACAGCCTGGTCCCTCAGGCTATCAATCACATTCTTGTCCTGATTGGATAACCCCAGAGTCCGAACCAGAACATGAAGAGAAACCTCCTCCGATATTAAGTGTGGTATCACCACCAACTGAGAGCTTGGAGCAACAGAACAAAACAGACACTCAGCAGGCGACAAATGGCTCCGCCTCACCTTCTTCATCTTGTGACGCTCAAATGTCCTTAACTCCATCCCCTCAACCTGCAAGACGAGAAGATGTTTTGTTCAGTCACCACCATCACCAGGGCGGTGTCCTGCGGCACATGGCCGGCCGTGATAATGGAGAAATGCAGCTCATGTCCTCAGAGGAGCATGAGATTATTATGGAAAACCAAAGGAAGTTTGGACTGTATCTTGACGAGAAAAGGGAAATCCTTAAAAGTAAGCAGGTGCTAGAGGAAGACCTGTTGAGGGCCAGAATCCGAGTGGAGGAGCTGAGGGCTGCACGGCTGCAACAAGGATTACCAGACCTCAAAGATACTTAGTATTTGTAAATATTTGCTCCATTAAAAAGGCAGTTACTAACATTGGTTCTGTGTATTTTGTATCCTCACTGCAGTCTGTCTCTGAAAATTTAAGTTGTCCCAATATCTTTACCAGATTTACGACATACCTGATAAGTATCCTTTTCAACAGACAATGGATCATTTATTTCAGATTTTGGCAGACTCTGAGCCATTTGTGCAAAACAAAACAAATTAACATGCCTGTTTGCATGAACTATCATGTATAGGTGCCTTTTTGTATATTCCTTTTACCTGCATGCTGCTGCCGAGGGTAGGTACACTTTATGTACCTGCTTCAACAATTTGCTTTTATATGGCATCCTTTACACAGGATAGAGTCATGGAGCGCTATGATAGCTTCTCACAGTACAGCATTGTAATGTGTGGATACGGTTGGAGTGTTATGCATCTCTACTGGTGAGTTTTTTTTGTCGGAGACATGTGGAAACCCATTACCATGCTTAAGAGTGTCCAAATCAAACTGAGATTTCCATGCATCCCAACTACACAGGAAAATTCCAGAAATAGATTATTGGAATGCAATGCGCACTCTCTCTCAGGAGGGATGCATCCTGCTTACCTAATTCTGGAAAGTATTAGCCGCAGGTTGTCAAGAGCCAAGGCTTGGGGACCACAGAGTATGCGTTGGGTACTGCTGGAATATAAGCAGTTAAAGCCGTATAATTTGCCATTGGTATCGCTGTCTGGCAAACTTGCCCACTGCTTGTCCAGCTAGGACCACCTATCGCCGATTAGGGCTCAGTCTTGCAGGGTTAACAGGAGCTGAGCAGGATGACTCCCTGCCTCTAGTGACTGCTTTGCCCTTGCAGGTCCTGCCAATGATCCAGGGTGACAGTGCTGTCAAGTGCTCTGGGATGCTACCCTGCCTGAGGGACACTATATAAATGCAAGTTGTTGTTGTAGTACAAATTGTCCAACCCCGGACATTATAAATGGCCACTTAGTTGAGTTACTGGAGGCCGAGGAGTGGAGCCTCTAGGGAAGTAGATTCAGGAACGCTGCTATAGACAAGTAGCACTGGTTGCTGCCAATAACAACTTGGATTTATATAGCTCCCTTCACGCCGGACGGCGTCTCAAAGCGCTTACCAGTGTTTCACTTGTAAGTGTTTCATAAGCATTCTTCTACTCGTTGCCTGGCTGAGCTCTGAAAACTGTGCAGATCAGCAATATTTTTGTGTGGGACTGGCCTGTATGGTACTTACACAGAATGCAAGCGGGAAACTAGGATTTCTATCTGTGACTTACAAACAGCTGCACACATCTCCAGCACTGTGGTATCCACCCTTCGAAGCAAACAGAGTAAATTCCACAGCAGTTTCTGCTGAGGTGATCGTGTAATAGCACCTCGGTGATGTAAAAACCCTTTTAGAAAGAGCATATTTACTAACAAAATGAAAAAAACTGGGATTGTTCACCAGTTACCTTCTGTGCCATGGAGAGCTTTGTTTCACTTGGAGAGATGCTTGAATTTACGATGAACGTGCTGCCAAGCTGGAGTGACCAATGTGCCTTGTATTATAACTGATTGGGCCAATGCTCTTGTTCACAGGAAGAATATTACTGACAATGGGCCAATTTATGATGAATTTGATATTTATCACATTAGATGCATCCTCCCAGACCCCTGACACTGCTCATTTCTGAGAAGCTGGATGACCAAATGTGATGACATCAAATTGCTGTTAAATTAAATTAACCCCGATCAAGTTTGGAACTGACTGCTTATGATAATACCTCGCTTGAAGGGTGCTATATAAATGCAAGTTGTTGTTGAAGTTGATGTAGCTGCTTATGTCATTGAGACAACTTGAAGCACTTCACAGGATATTCTCTTAAAGTGGAATGACTGTGTATTTTGTAGGCAAAACGTGGCAGCCAGTTGCACACGGCAATGTCCCACAAACAGCCGTGGAATGAGTGAACAATTTATTTAGGGGATTTGTTGGCCAGGACCCCGGGAGAAACTCCCTTCTCTTTTCAAATAGTGCCATGGGATCTTTAGCGTCCACCTGAACAGGCAGACGGGACTTCGGTTTTAACAACGGTTGTTTTTCTGACTGGAGGGAAGTGTGGAGGGGTGTCCCCCAGGGGTTTGTATTGGGACCACTGCTCTTTTCAATCTATAAATGACCTGGACTTGGGTAAAGGGAGTACAATTTCCAAGTTTGCAGAAGTTTAATCTCCTTGGAGCAGAGAAGATTAAGAGGAGACTTAATAGAAGTTTTCAAAATTATGAGGGGATTTGATAGGGTGAACAAGGAGAAATTATTTTTATTGGTGGGTGGGTCGGTAATCTGAAGACACCGATTTAAAATAGTTGTTAAAAGAAATAGAGGGGAGGTGAGGAGAATTTTTTTCACACAGCGAGTTGTTTGGAACTGAAATGCATTGCCTGAAAGGGTGGTGGAAGCCGATTCGATAACAACTTTTAAGAGAGAAGTAGATAATTATTTGGGGAGGATAAGATTACAGGGCTATGGGGAGAGAGCGGGGGAGTGGGATTGATTTGGATAGCTTTTTTCAAAGAGCCGACACAGATACGATGGGCTGAATGGCCTTCTTCTGTGCTCTTTAATTCTATGATCCAATCCGAAGGACGGCACCGCTAACAATGCAAAACATCACCAGCGCTGCATTTGAGTGTCGGTTTAGACTATGTGCTTCCAAGTCTCCACGGAGTTCATCCGTGTAGCTCAGTGGTTAGAGCACTCGCAAACATTTGCAAATGTTAAATTTAAAATTTAACAGTGGGTAGAGTGCTACCCACTGAGCCACAGACACTTAATAGAAACCCTAATTTGATACTTATGGAAAGATTGAGGGCTGCTTTTAATGCTGAGTACGAAGAAGCTTGTCAGGAGACTTAAGTGGATCATTAAGGAGATAATGTGATCTGTTTGTGGGACACTGCTGTGTGCAATTGGCTGACGCGTTTCGCACACAAAACACACAGTCACTACACTTTACAGTATATTCTGTGAAGCGTTTTGAGATGCTCCAATGACATGATAAGACACTATATCAAATGCAAGAATTATTGTTATATCAAATTCTGAGTGCTCTAAAATGCTACATAAACAGTGTAAATTAAGACCCAGGTGAAATTTGGGCTGACTGGCTTGTTTCAATGCTACATTAGAGGATGAAGCGCTTTGGGACGTCCTCCCGACGTGAAAAGCGCTATATCAAATGCAAGGATTATTATTATTATTGTTATTCTACTCATTCTACAGTTTGCTTCCTGGAGCTACAAATAAGGTTCTTTTTCAGTGTGCTTTAAAAAGTTTTTTTTTAAAAAATGCTATTGTAGGATTACTAGAAGAGGTGGCTCAAGCATGACTCAGGCTCTCTGTAAACCTCAGACACCCACTTACCAAAAACTTTACAGTAAAATGTCTCCTTTAATCGCTTGTAGCCTAAAAAACGTTTAAAGCTATCTTGTAAATTGCAATCTGCATATGACTGAGTTAGTAACAGCTTGTATTTATATCACACCTTACATGTAAAAGAAAGTGGAGATCTCAGCAGTAAAACAAATGTAGTTAGTGAGGGGGAAGAGAAGTACTAAAACCCAATATAATCCTTACATTTGCTATATAGCACCTTCTTACATCAGAAGGATGTCTCAAAGCACTTCACAGGCTATACTGTAAATGGAGTGACTGTATTTTGTGAATGAATATACAGTATTCCCTAGTGTTGCATTGTTAAATTGGAACTTCTCTGTATTTTCTTTTTCTCTTTTTTCACTTTTTTCTTGAGTGTAGCATATGGGGAATTGTGCGAAAAATGACAAAGTAACTGATGAGAAATGAATGACCCATTGTTCTTTGTTTTGGTTTTATTCAGTTACCATAAGTAAGTTTACTACCAGGCAAATTGAAAGCATACTTATCGCTTTACAGACTTTTCAGGCAGTACTTACTGTCTGAGACCATTTCACTTTACGTGACTGCTTCAGTTGTTTTTCTTCTGTTGTCATTTGCAGCACAGGGTCTTTCATCTTTTAATAAAGCATTGCTATAAAGCCATGCCCTTTTTTGTTTAAAATTGCTAATCACATATTGGAGGAATTTCCTCCACAGTTTTATCTAATCTTGTGGTCTTAAATGCAGCACTAAGTGCAGAAAGTCTGTCCCTTCAATCGGTTCTTATGCATACTGCCTGTGGTGTCTCCTGTTAAACTGCAATTTTATAGCCAGCAGAATTTGTCAAGGCTTTCTTAAAAGAACAAAGAAAAGCAGATTTCAGAAACTGACCTTACTCAACCTCTGCAGGCTAGCAAAAGGCATACAAAGAAGGACAAAGAAACAAGGCTGCCTCTTTCAAGCACTATTCATTTTTGCATAGGGATAAAGCTTGGAAGAAAACTCCCAGGGAGGGTTTGGCTATGAGTTCAGGTTTCAGATCATCCTTCTGGAAAACAGCCACTGATGCAGCATCACACAAGGAAGAGTAAATGCAAATCAAAGACTGAAAGTAAAGTGCTATTTCTAACCCATTCTCAATACTGGGGAAGGGATATCCATTGGTTGTCTTGGGAGCTTCAGCTACACTTGCACTCATTTGGAACCCAATATACAACAACAAGTTACAGATGTCACATCTGATCTCTCCTGCCATTGAATGACTCAAAGGGCATTTGGCACAGACCTTCCTAGAGATTGTCTCAGACATCACTGGCAACTATTCAGCATCTAGAGTATTTATAACCCTTGTAAAGACTACCTTTCTTCTTTCTACCTACCCCCCATCCCTATATTTTGTCACATGCTAAAGTACTAAGCGTCTGCCTAAGACAATACAGTAACTTTGGCTTGGAACAAGTTCTTGAAGCAGATAAAGAGCAAGCGAATTTACATTGAAAGCAAACAAGAGAATAATTAATCTGGGAAAGTCTTGTTCAATGAACCATGAACTGACATTTCCAAATCTCCACAAACACCAGGAAAATACTGAGCCTTCAACTAAACTGATCAACTTCCCAGAATCTCTG